CATTTGGCATTTATATACCTCTTTAAATTCTCCTCACACTCAAAATGTCTGAAAAGACTTAAACGTGAGAGCTTACATGTTTTGAGTTTTTCACAGTCACTATCAAATCATTCTGGTTGAGATTTGTACCTGGAATCTGATGAACTGAAGATTATGGAAAAACGATATCAAAATAGATCGGTCAGTTTGTTAGTTGCTCGATCTATATCTCTTCTAATAATATAGACCGCCTCCGTGGTCTAATGGTAGACCATCCGCCCGGATAGCGGAAGGTCCGGGGTTCGATCCCAAGCCGCGTCATACCAAAAGATGTTAAAAGATGGTACTTGTTGTTACCCTGTCTGGCGCTCGGCATTAAGGGGCTAAAACAAGGACTGGTCGGCTCGGAGTCAGTAAACTGTGTCTGAGTGGGGTACTCATGTTGAACTGCGGCATGGTAACTCAGTGTGCTAGCACTATAAATCGGCATCAGTCCGGACTAGTACAAGCAGCCACACACACACACATACACGTGCATTCACGTCGCTATATAAGTGCAATAATCTTGGACGCGACGTTAAACCCCATTTCACCTCACCTCTAATAATAGAGTGAATTCACTGTTTATTACATTAACAATGTCTCAATCAATTTATTCCTGGTTCCTTAGTACTCGGTCGATGAATTATTTGAGAGGCATTAATAAGAAGTTGACGGATGACAAAGTAGACACAAACTGGAAGGTTCCAGCCTTGTTTGACAACTGTATAAGGATCTATACCGAAACGTCGCCTTTACATTAATTAAAGGAGTTGTGATCCATAAATAATGTCTACTTAGTACTTTGTCGATATCGTGTAATAACAGAGAAGGGGGGAGGGTATCTGCGAGGGAGGCTTAACTGTGCAACAAAAGCTACGTGGTCAGATTCATTCCTAGCGCTGACAGGCATATATACTGTCAGGGGGGAGGTATCACTTGATAGAATAACATATTCCACAAGACTAAATCTTGCTTGTGAAAGAAACGTATATTGTCCTTGATCATCTGACACCGATCTACAGAGCTCAATATGCAGACTACCACAATTATTGATGACACAATTAGATGAGCAGTGTGATAAACTGATATTTGGTTGCATCAACTAAGATATGATCAATCTCCTTCCAAGTTATATGAGCCAAAGTCATAGATAATCTGAAGTAGATTACTTTTTCCAATTTGTCTATTCTATTTCCATTATGTTTTTCATGCTCGTGTGAGTTTTCTAAATGTATATATAAATTCTATACATAGATGATCTTAAGAGTGTTGATCTGAGAGTTAAACAGTATTCAAATCTTCATATATCTTGCTGAAAAATGGTATAAAACTGTTCTTTATCAGAACTGAAATCCCACCTAAAAGTCTACCTCTCGCCCCAGCTCTGTGTGCAACGCAGTCATGGCACATCCGTGAAGATCCAGGTTGATGCATTTCACCGTATCCCAATTGCGTGGATCGATGCTTATGATATCAATCACTGGATTGACTGGTCCAGACTCTAATATTTATCTAATATCATGTAGCTGGTATAGTTCTGACTGCCGTTAAGCAACAAACAAACAAACGAACAAACAAAAACAAACAAATCAAAGCAAGTGTGATCAGACGTTTACCACTTCGGTGAAACCCACCAGCACGGGTATGGTGCTAGAAACATAATCGGAGCGTATGATAAGTAATAATAATCACGAGATATACATAAAAGCGACAAAACCCTTTCCATATTCATAAGAAATCACTGCTAAAAGCAGAGTCGATGAACATATGTTTATGAAATAGTGATGACACCGCGTATTCGGGAAAAGGCGAGTATACCCTGCCTCGCGGATGGCACCCGTCACAAACACAAAGACATGCAAGAAATCTTCATATGTGCCGATCAGTTTGCTTAAACAAGAGTAGAATCTTATTGCGCTGATCACCTAGAAGAGATATGTCCTGAAAAAACCCTGAATAATCGAAACCGCAAGGTAAAGTGCAGTGTGCCAGGTACACTGATGTCTTGGAGATATACTTGTCACTGATATAATAGGCTTGGAACTTGGAACACGAGAATGGTCATTACGTTGTGCCGCGTGCACAAACGGAGGCACGCACACGAACCTATGATATACATAATTATCCGAGTTATCTGGCAAACCTTAGAAACACGATACCTTACGCCAGGCCAACCGTCCTACGCCCAGTGTGTTTGTTGACTACGGTTTAAGACAATGCCTGTGTTAATATTGATTACTATTCGTCAGAAGGTGACGGTGAGTTTTGAGTGTGCTCTGATTCTTACCATGAATTGCCTATAGTTTCTGATCCTACAATGACTGTAAAAGATCAAATGAACAGATTTTCTTCTTTTTGACAGGTGCCACCAAAATTCTCTTGACATCAATACTATTTGATAGTGATTCATAAACGCATGCTTCTGGTGCAAACTGATGGGCAAAAGGAGGCGAGGTGAGGTGAAATGGGGTTTTTACGTCGCGTCCAAGATTATTGCACTTATATGGCGACGTGCATGCACGTGTGTGTGTGTGTGTGTGGCTGCTTGTACTAGTCCGGACTGATGCCGATTTATAGTGCTAGCTCACTGAGATACCATGCTGCAGTTTAACATGAATGCCCCACTCAGACACAGTATACAGACTCCGAGCCGACCAGTCCTTGTTTTAGCCCCTTAATGCCGAGCGCCAGACAGGGTAACAACAAGTACCATCTTTTAACGTCTTTTGGTATGACGCGGCCGGGGATCGAACCCCGGACCTTCTGCTCTCCTGGCGGACGCTCTACCACTAGACCACGGAGGCGGTCTCACAAATATTGATGACACCAGGTGTTCGCGAAAAGATTAGCGTATTTTGCCTCACCGATTGAGCTACTCACAAACAAATGCAAAGGCAAGTTAAGTGAGTGAGTTGGGCTTTAACGCCGCTTTTAACTGTATTCCAGTTATATCACGGTGTGTCAGCTTAATGTGGGAGGAAAGACCGAAGTGATGCAGGTCTCAGACGTTTACCACTTCGGTGAAACCCACGAGCACGGGCATGGTGCTGACAAACCTAGAAACATAATCGGGGCGAACCGGAATTCGAACCCACAATCATAGGTTTCTGGCGTGCCTAAGGGACACAACTCTGCACAGCCAATGGCGGCGCTTTAGTCCGTGTCCCATCACGTTAAGTCAAGATGTGGAAACACACGAAACTAAGACATAAAATAACATACTGAACTACGTTTTTCCGTTTTGGGTGTCATTACGATCCTAGCTATCTTTGGTAATTAAATATAGTCTTATCAATATTTCATGCAACTTTAATATGTTTTAATTATTTCTGTTATTTCATTTGTGATTTTAAACGGAAGTATCCTTTTGTGCCTTATGTAAATGCCAGTTTTTTTACTATACTCAACAACAAAAGTTCCTGTGACACCAATATTTTAGTGTAAAGTAAGTAAGTAAAGTTTGATTTTTAATATTGTAGTACATGTATGGAATCAAGTCACAAAAACGCAACTGCTACAGAAAAGCATGCATTCCATGCAAAAGATGACTTTTATGCAAGCCCCATGCATTTCACTACCCACGAATGGGTATAAAAACATATGCGTTAACGGGATTCCATATGCATTGTTTAGCATCGTACTGACAACAACCACTCAGAAAAACAACAAAATTACGCAATTATTCAACATTACGAAATGCCACACCTGTCCGAAAATGAGCGCCTGCGAGCCATTGGTATGCTTGAAGCAGGATCGAGTCAACGTGATGTCGTAAGACAATTTAACGTCCACAGAAACACCATTTGGTGTTGGCAACTTTGGCAACAGACGAATGCAGTCAGAGACCATCCTCGGAGTGGCAGGCCACGCGTAACCAATAATCGACAAGACAACTGGATTCGAACAACACACCTACGAAATCGATTCCAGCAAGCAACAGTGACTGCAAGAAGCATCCCTGGCCTTCGACGAATATCTTCACAAACCGTACGTCGTCGTCTCGGATGTGCAGGAATTGTTGCCAGAAGACCCGCCAGACGTCCCATTTTGACAGGAAACCAGCGTCAAGCAGGTCTACAGTGGTGCAGACAGCGTCTACGCTGGACGACCAGTGGGGACAAGTTCTATTCACTGACGAGTCTCGTTTTCACCTCAGCCACAGCGATGGACGGATTCGAGTGTACCGACGTCGAGGTGAACGTTACGTCAATCATGGTGTCATGGAAGAAGATCGGTTTGGGGGCTGCAGCGTTATGGTATGGGGTGGGATTTCACCAAGACAGGGGACCCGTTTGATAGTGGTAGAGGGAAATCTCAATGAACAGCGTTACCGCGACGAGATCATCGGCCAAGTTGTTCTACCGTTTTTGCGTCGTCATGGCCCAGGCATTACCTTTCAACATGACAACGCCCGGCCTCATATTGCTTCGAAACATGCTCCAGCAGATATGGACAGATATCCCACAGGACTTTGTGCGACGCCTGGTCAATTCCATGAGACGAAGATGTGTTGCTTGCATCGCAACCAGAGGTGGACACACACGCTATTGATTTGTAAATTGACATTTTGGCATGTTCATGTTTTTTTTTATGAAATCAGTATGGCAAATTTAAACCATCTGAGCACTTACAGGAGTCTTTTATCTGTTGCAAACCGAAATTGTTTCAGATTTGGTAAAAAACATAACTTTGCAGTAAATCTTATTCAATGTCAAAGGAACTTTTGTTGTTCAGTATACATGCATCCCTTAGAGCTATATTTCACTGAAGGGGCGGTCGGGTAGCCTAGTGGTTAAAGCGTTCGCTCGTCACACCGAAGACCCGGGTTCGATTCCCGACATGGGTACAATGTGTGAAGCCCATTTCTGGTGTCCCCCGCCGTGATATTGCTGGAATATTGCTAAAAGCGGCGTAAAACAATACTCACTCACTCACTCACTCACTATATTTCACTGAAAACATGATGTTTATTATTTTAGAAACCATCATGGCTTCAGCCCAAATCCAACTGCTCCTGCTGGCTGCTGTTCTGGTAATAGTAACGATGTCGTTTCTGTCGTGGCAGAGAGTACAAGGGTGAGCAGGGCTTGCTTGTATTACCTTTTGTTTCTTTCATGGACAATCCGAACGACTCCGTGGTCTAGTCGTCTGCCCGGAGAACGGAAGGTCGGTGGTTCGATCCCCAGAAAGACGTTAAAAGATGGTACATAGAGAATCTCACAACGAGTGTTGATATATTTGATATTAAAGACACGAGGGGGAGATTTTATTTATCATCCAAAATCATTCTTCCAACTTTTTCAGTTTGTAGACAGTAATAAGCAGTGTCTTAAGTGTATAAAGTACTTCTAAAAGCTTTAGTGGCAGGGCCATTAGTGATGTCATTTGATTGTGATGTCATCATAACCAATGACGTCACAATGGTCTGCAAAGCAGTGTGATGCAATTTCATTGCAGCGATATCTAAAGTGTAGATATCGCTTGATCTCACCCAAGCGACATCTCCAGTGGGAGCCAGTTTTGGATGATATGCTCGAGTATGCAGTATACATGTTATTTATTTTCAACAGTAAAGACAAGAAATACTAATAGGGCAAGATTGACAAAAAAAATGACTGAAGACTGTTTAATGGATTAAAAGGCAGATGCCATAATTGTTTTTTTCAAATGTTAAGGGCTTACACAGTTTCGGGTCAATACCCAAAATGTCAGTCAATACCTGATGTGACCACCATTAGCATTGATCACTGCCACACATCTCCTGTACATTGAGTGGATCAGACGATTTGTGAAGGCCCTAGGGATCCTCCTGCACACATCCAGAGCAGCTGTGCGTAGTTCATCGGCAGTTGTAGGGACTGGGCGCACACTGTGCAGGTGCCTTTGAACCTCATCCCACAAGTGTTCGATGGGGTTCAGATCAGGGCTGAGGGCTGGCCACGGTAGAACACGGATGTTGTGTTGTTGCAGAAAGGCCATGGTAGCTCTGGCGACATGGGGACAAACGTTGTCCTGCTGGAAAATGTGTTGTTGATGTTGTGCAAAAAATGGAACACCATGGGGTCTGATCACTTGGTCGATATACCGCTGAGCAGTGACGCCGTGTCCCCGACCTTGACCAGCATTCAGAAAGCACATGGGTCCAAGTCTCGCATTAAGTCCAATCCCTGCCCATATCATGACGCTAGGTCTACCTTTCCACAACGTTTCTGTCAGCGAAACGATCACCTCGACGCCGCCAAATTCTGACTCTTCCGTCTGCATGGGAGACACAAAAGCGACTTTCATCAGAGACGATGACACGCCTCCACTCACGATGACGCCAATTGCGATGACCCTGTACCTACTGAAGTCGTGCTTGTCGATGCCGTGGTTGGACAACAGGACGACGAGCTGGTCGGCGACATCTGAGGTTGTTGGAACGGAGACGTCGGATCACAGTGTCCCGGCTAATGTGTCGATTATGTGTTCCTATGGTCTGTCGAGCACTTTCACTTGCAGTTAGGAACGGTTGTCGCTGGTGTTGACGGGTAATCTGACGATCTTGTCGAGGTGTGGTGACCCTAGGACGACCGCTCCGAGGAAGGTCATCTGTGGTCTGTGTAGCATTGTATCGATGCAGGAGACGGTAAATTGTGGTTATGTTAACGTTGAAATGACGGGCTACATCTTGGACAGACTCTCAAGCTTCCAAACGTCCGATAGCCTGGTTTCTCTGAATTTGAGTTAGGCGTGGCATTGTTGACCAAGGAGTGGTAGGTCCAAGAATCGGCAACAGCTTTATACCCACTACAGTTCGTGACAGTTCGTGCATTTTCGATTTCGCGAGAAATTGGTGCATGATACCCACATATTCATTGAAATGGTGCGTTTTGGCGATTCGTTTTTTATGTTGCGTTTTTACTCGGGGCTTCCAAAATGCAACCAAAAACATTGATAACACCATCAGGTTTCACTACGTGCTAAAACTCGTATCAATTTATTGTTCCGTGTTTGTTACCTATTTGCTTAAAACCACTTGCGTTTCTTTTACGTGTGAGTAAATTAACACAAGTTGATAAATGTGGAAAAAGTTGTCCACTTTCATCAACGAGTGCGATACCACAACATAGAAATAGATGGAATTGAAAGTATGACGCCATGTGTGAAGTGAACTGGTGGATATGTGTGCCGTCCTTTCTTACCGACAGATCGCAACGACTGAATCATTGTTAAATGAAGTCCTTGATTTGCACTTGGGATGGGGTTAAAGGACTACATTTAAGGTCTCGGGTAATCACAGGTAATGAGAGCTAATCACTTGGATCTCGAAAAAGAATATGACACTTGTATCCCATGGTTGACACTGAATAAGCGGGATTGGGTGTTCAGAATCGGTGTTTAACATGGATACCCCACTCAGACACAGTATACTGACTCCGAGCCGACCAGTCCTTGTTTTAGCCCCTTAATACCGAGCGCCAGACTGGGTAACAACAAGTGCCATCATTTAACTTGGTTTGGTATGACGCGGCCGGGGATCGAACCCCGGACCCTCCGCTCTCCGGGTTGACGCTCTACCACCAGACCACAGAAGTGTGAAGCCCATTTATGGTGTCCCCCGCCGTGATATTGCTGGAATATTGCAAAAAGCGGCGTAAAACCATACTCACTCACTCTAGCTGAAATATTGCTGACTAGGACGTTAAACAACATTCACGCACTCACATGCGTGTTTTCTCATTGAAAGAATTTCCTTGTAGCTGTCACCTTTTTTTGTTGCCATGGATATGATGAGGTCTTTTTTATTGTCATTGTTGTGTTTTTAATTCAGTATTCCTTGATACAGATTTCAAAACATGTCAAATGGACTGATGCCACGACCTGCCTTAAAATCTTATTTGAATGAAAGCACCTTAACACGGAAAAGTTTCAAAAACGATTCAAGTTGGCATGCTTCTGGAAAACTCTCAAGTTTGTCATTAATTGATAACACACATCTGTATAAGCTGGAGGAAACTGTCAAAGTGAAAATCGTTCTGTTTGACCACAAGAAACGACCTAAATCTCGTGGAGGTGATATGGTAGTAGTTTGGATGAAAGACAAGAAGAATGGCGCTGCTTCCGCCGGAATTGTAAAGGATCATGACAACGGGACGTATACAGGTATTCTGCGCACCTTGTGGACCGGAACAGCAGAAATAAGGGCGGCTGTTGTTTCATCCAGGGAACGAATAGACTTTACATACGACATGTTACGCAAAGGATACCAGGGGAAGTCAATTAGTTGCACATTCAGGTCAACTAGGACAGTTGAGACTACAAGTGGATATATGGACATTAACAATATGAAAACAGACAATCTTTGCAATTTCACCAGTCAGTACCATGGTGTTCCATTCTATTGTGGAAAACCCAAAACACCAGGGTTGCGATGCGGAGACTGGACTCAAGTTTCTAGCAAATTGAGTTATATGACTCTAAGCTCGAACGAGCAATGGTTTTCCACGCAAGTATCTATTATTAGAACATACGTTAATTTATTTTAAGTGAAATTATATCTTAGGTTATATAATCTTTATTTTTTAGATTTAGAATCGAATGCCATTAAAAGACGACGTATTCTGACATAAATGAAAGTAATGCAAATTGTAAGAGACGAATGCGTAGCGTCAGCAGAATATTGTAACGATTAATGAAGACTGCTATATGTTGTGCATAACTCCGGTTGATACCTTCTTTCAGATAATATCTTGCTTCAGATTATGAAGCCAAAAGGACATGTCAGTTATTATTACCGTAGCATGTAAATAAGGTGTGACACACATGACTTCGTTTACTTTTACCGTAGCATGTAAGTGAGCTATGACACGCAAGAATTCATTAAGATTTAAAGTGGAAATCGGTTATTATTACCGTAGCATGTAAGTGAGCTATGACACACAGGAATTCATTAAGATTTAAAGTAGAAATCGGTTTTTATTACCGTAGCATGTAAAGGTGCTATGACACACAAAACTTCGTTAAGATTTAAAGTTGAAATCGGTTAGTATTACCGTAGCATGTAAGTGAGCTATGACACACAAGAATCCGTTAAGATTTAAAGTAGAAATCGGTTATTATTACCCCAGCATGTAAGTGAGCAATGACACACAAGAATCCGTTAAGATTTAAAGTAGAAATCGGTTTTTATTACCCCAGCATGTAAGTGAGCAATGACACACAAGAATCCGTTAAGATTTAAAGTAGAAATCGGTTATTATTACCGTAGCATGTAAGTGAGCTATGACACGCAAAACTTCGTTAAGATTTAAAGTGGAAATCGGTTATTATTACCGTAGCATGTAAGTGAGCTATGACACGCAAAACTTCGTTAAGATTTAAAGTGGAAATCGGTTATTATTACCGTAGCATGTAAGTAAGCTATGACACACAGGAATTCATTAAGATTTAAAGTAGAAATCGGTTTTTATTACCGTAGCATGTAAAGGTGCTATGACACACAAAACTTCGTTAAGATTTTAAAGTAGAAATCGGTTTTTATTACCGTAGCATGTAAAGGTGCTATGACACACAAAACTTCGTTAAGATTTAAAGTAGAAATCGGTTATTATTACCGTAGCATGTAAGTGAGCTATGACACGCAAAACTTCGTTAAGATTTAAAGTGGAAATCGGTTATTATTACCGTAGCATGAAAGTGAGCTATGACACGCAAAACTTCGTTAAGATTTAAAGTGGAAATCGGTTATTATTACCGTAGCATGTAAGTGAGCTATGACACACAGGAATTCATTAAGATTTAAAGTAGAAATCGGTTTTTATTACCGTAGCATGTAAAGGTGCTATGACACACAAAACTTCGTTAAGATTTAAAGTAAAAATCGGTTTTTATTACCGTAGCATGTAAAGGTGCTATGACACGCAAAACTTCGTTAAGATTTAAAGTAGAAATCGGTTATTTTTACCGTAGCATGTAAGTGAGCTATGACACGCAAAACTTCGTTAAGATTTAAAGTGGAAATCGGTTATTATTACCGTAGCATGCAAGTGAGCTATGACACACAGGAATTCATTAAGATTTAAAGTAGAAATCGGTTTTTATTACCGTAGCATGTAAAGGTGCTATGACACACAAAACTTAGTTAAGATTTAAAGTTGAAATCGGTTAGTATTACCGTAGCATGTAAGTGAGCTGTGACACCCAAAACTTCGTTAAGATTTAAAGTGGAAATCGGTTATTATTACCGTAGCATGTAAGTGAGCTATGACACGCAAAACTTCGTTCAGATTTAAAGTGGAAGTCGGTTATTATTACCGTAGCATGTAAGTAAGCTATGACACACAGGAATTCATTAAGATTTAAAGTAGAAATCGGTTTTTATTACCGTAGCATGTAAAGGTGCTATGACACACAAAACTTCGTTAAGATTTAAAGTTGAAATCGGTTAGTATTACCGTAGCATGTAAGTGAGCTATGACACACAGGAAATCGTTAAGATTTAAAGTAGAAATTGGTTTTTATTACCGTAGCATGTAAATTAGCTATGACACACAAGACTTCGTTATGGCTTAAAGGAGAACGAGATCTGGAAATTGAAATGTTTTAGAGTACTAATGATTCTGATTAGTAATATTTTTAATAATGTGGTTGACTTTCAGGTCGCCAACAGAATACTTATCTGAAGTCATCAAGATAAATGTTATATCACAAGGTATGTGTGAACATGAATACATCTCTCAACACTATAGATACAGGAAACGATTTTAGTTTTATGAAATAATAAACACAACATACCGTTATTTATGTCAATTATGAATACACTGCAATGCATATAGTATTAATACATAATAAACATATCCCATTGTGTCTTCAAACTTCAAATTGAATTGAATGCAAATAGAAATGGCCCTTGATAAAGTTCAGTGGGTGTTATGTCTCAAGCTAGCACCTTTTTATTCTACGGCTAAAGGGAATATGTGAGCATGTACTTGTCATAATGAAGTGTTAATGGTTGTCATTTTATTATTCCTACAGTTGAAGGTGATACCGTATCTGCATCTCGGCCATGTTACCTGCAGGACCCTCGGAACACCTGGCGTGCCACCCCACCTGTTGGGTTTTCTTATCAACACACATGGCGCCCTCTATCGTGTTTTAGCAACACCACAACTACAAATAGCTACCATCACTGCCTAGCGAACAGAACATTGAGACTGTATGGTGACTCCACTGTAAGACAGTGGTTTTCATATTTGTTCATAAAGCTCAATCTCACCTTCAGATCAAAGCCATCGGAGATTCGAAATAATGTTGAACTGATGTCCCAGAAATGGTATGAATACACTGCTGCATTCAACATTAGACACAACTATACTGTGTCTTGGTCACCGCATGGTCTGCCGATGACGTTTCAAGACGCCAACATGACAGACATTCGACCAGTGTTTGTTCGGCTGGAGGATATTCCATCACAATCTACAGATATCCTTCTCGTTAACTTGTATTCTCATTTTGAATTGTTTCCCTTACATATTTATCGATCTCGAGTGAAGCGAACTAGACGGGCTATAGAAGAATTACTGATACGATCTCCGAATGTAATGATTGCCATCAAAGGACCACATAATTTTGTTGTTGAAGGTAAATTTACGACCACTTTGGGCGGGATGTGGGGTCCTGTGTATGAGAACATTCTGAAACAAGAGTTTGTTGATCTCAACAACCGGGTGGTTTACCTCGACTTCTGGGATATGACAGTTGCTCTGGAATCTGAAGATATTCACCCAAGTGAACAGATAGTGAAAATGATGCTGAACGTGTTCTTCGGACACGTTTGTAAATTGAGTAAGTAATATAAAAAAATATATAATATTTCAGAATTGTTTTTTAATTTGACAGTTGCTCGAGAATCAGAAGCTATTCAGCTCGATTTGAAGATGGTGAAAATGATGCTACAGTTCTCTGGACATGTGTGTAAACGGAGTCAGGGAAGACAGCTATTTGTCAGAATAACGCCAATGTTGACAAACATTCTATATGAAACCACGCCCTCAACCACGTACTGTGTCATAATCTCGAACGCAGCCAATGATACACGATACATGTAGCTGAATACATGAGTGTGTGTCAGACATATGTTACGAAACGTATTTTTCATGTTCATGAATACTGACAAGAGTATCGTGTAAAAACGATGATGAACGCATGAATTTAATAATCTCATTTCCATCCAAGAGAAGAAGTAGCATCATCTACAGACTGAAACTGTGTCAGTTGATTTTACGTCACGAATAATGGAGTATGACGTCACCATCTCCAAAGTCTCACTTTAATCTGTTAATGTATTTCCAGTTGGTACACCTGAAGCAGCATCCGTACAGGGTGTCTCCCATATCCAATGTATTTCCAGTTGATAAACCTGAAGCAGCATCCGTACAAGGTGTCTCCCATACCCAATGTATTTCCAGTTGATAAAACTGAAGCAGCATCCGTACAGGGTGTCTCCTACATCCAATGTATTTCCAGTTATTAAACCTGAAGCAGCATCCGTACAGGATGTCTCCCATATCCAATGTATTTCCAGTTGATAAACCATGTAGCAGCATCCGTACAGGGTGTCTCCCATACCCAATGTATTTCCAGTTGATAAAACTGAAGCAGCATCCGTACAGGGTGTCTCCTACATCCAATGTATTTCCAGTTAAGACACCTGAAGCAGCATCCGTACAGGGTGTCTCCCATGTCCAATGTATTTTTCCAGTTCATAAACCTGAAGCAGCATCCGTACAGGGTGTCTCCCATATCCAATGTATTTCCAGTTCATAAACCTGAAGCAGCATCCGAACAGGGTGTCTCCCATATCCAATGTATTTCCAGTTGATAAAACTGAAGCAGCATCCGTACAGGGTGTCTCCCATATCCAATGTATTACCAGTTGATAAAACTGAAGCAGCATCCGTACAGGGTGTCTCCCATATCCAATGTATTTCCAGTTGGTTAAACTGAAGCAGCATCCGTACAGGGTGTCTCCCATATCCAATGTATTTCCAGTTGATAAAACTGAAGCAGCATCCGTACAAGGTGTCTCCCATATCCAATGTATTTTTCCAGTTCATAAACCTGAAGCAGCATCCGTACAGGGTGTCTCCCATATCCAATGTATTTCCAGTTCATAAACCTGAAGCAGCATCCGAACAGGGTGTCTCCCATATCCAATATATTTCCAGTTGATAAAACTGAAGCAGCATCCGTACAGGGTGTCTCCCATATCCAATGTATTTCCAGTTGATAAAACTGAAGCAGCATCCGTACAGGGTGTCTCCCATATCCAATGTATTTCCAGTTGAATAAACTGAAGCAGCATCAGTATAGTGTGTCACCCAAAGCCAGTGTATTTCCATGACATGCTGTACTATCTCGATCAAAATCGCAGTCACCCATGCAATAAAAATAATTGTCAACAAATATCAAAATCACCATTATTAGTTAAAGCCTTGGGTACGCAAGGGTGGATCAGGGAGTGGGAAATGTCAAAATGGTTATGTCACTCCAAAGAGCTAAAGATTGTTTTCAGTAAATGTGTATAGACAAACTAATAGCAAATGTATATATATATATAACGAAACAAAACCAATTACAAAATCAAATGGGACATAATCAAGAAATCAAACACCAACAAAAGAGACTCAGGGATTTGCAATCTACGCATGGAAGAGAAGCTCGAGATTCTCATGCTAACATCCAACAAGCTAAACAAAAGAAGCGAGCTCATTTCCACCTGTCGCCATGGTAAACCCCCAAGCCGAGCAAAAAAGAAAGGGTCAAACTAAAAACCATGTTTCATTATAAGATAGACACAATTTTATGGATAACAACTTCTTTAATACTGTAAAAAGCGACGTTTCGGTATAGATCCTTATACCGTCAAGCAAGACTGAATGGGGGACATAGTGCAGAATATATATAGCAAGTGGAGGATTAACAGTAGAGGATTAACAGTAACAACAAGGGCATACATGAGTGGGATAACATAGGTAGGTGTGACAACAAGGATGATGCTATCACAACACGATGGACTTGCTATATATATTCTGCACTATGTCCCTCATTCAGTCTTGCTTGACAACGGTATAAGGATCTATACCGAAACGTCGCTTTTTACAGTATTAAAGAAGTTGTTATCCATAAAATTGTGTCTATCTTGTCGTCCGCCAACTTCTAAGTAATGCCTATCAAACAAGTCATGTTTCATTATGCCTGATGATCGTATGCAATAACACTACAATCAAACAGATTCGAGTCTCGGTGGCCCAGAGCAAGTTATTAGGTTTTAAACATCTATAAACACCTATTGATTTAACGGTTAACGTTGCCCCCAAGATGTACTTACACAGCGACGCGTATGCAAGTGTGTGTGTGTCTGCTTGTCCTCGGCCGGATTTGTGCCGGTTTTCTAGTGCTAGCCGACTGAGTTTTACACGGATACCCTACTCAGACAACATCAGACTTCACTCCAAGATGGCCAGTCCTTGTTTTATGCCTTCAATGCCAAGCAGAGAGTAACAGCAATTAGCAGCTTTGAAAGTTATTGGTATGACGCGACCAAGGGATCGAGACAAGGACCTTTCGCTCACGGGGCAGACACTGATTTGATAATGAAAGACGATGAAGTCAAGGGCGTTACTGAAGACGGGCATCGTAGATGACTTTCAGATTCAGAAGTGGTGCACTTCATTTGATACCTTACCTTCATTTACTACCTATCTCGGTTAACGCACCGCAATATTCTTTTACCAACATATTAGAGAGTGCCAAAATACTGAACATGTGTCCTGGAATTAACTGATCTGTAACTGATTGATTGATACTCGTAAAAGATCAATGATGTCAACACAATATAGTTTCACGCTGGTATGCTTACATCTCTTTTTCGTAGATCAGTCTCACAATTGAGAGATTTAGAGTTGATATACCGGGACGTTAACGGACGCGAGTGCGTCATGTCATCGACTGATTGACGTCTTGAAGACAATGACTAACAATGAGTGAGTGAGTGAGTGAGTGGGTGGGTGGGTGAGTGAGTGAGTGAGTGAGTGAGTGAGTGAGTGAGTGAGTGAGTGAGTGAGTGAGTGAGTGAGTGAGTGAGTGAGTGAGTGAGTGAGTGAGTGAGTTGGGGTTACGGCGCTTTTAACAATAGCACGGCGGTAAAAAGCAGTAATGGGTTTAACACATTGTACCCACTTGGAGAATTGAATCCGGGACTTCGGCGTAAAGAGCGAAAGTTTTAAACAAAAGACTGGTCCACAGCCCCTGACTATTGAAGAAGCAATATGGTCTGGTCCCTCTGTCAAAACGTAACCGATTCATATGAAACTCCCACAAACTGTATATACATGTATTTTCTATTTTTGTATCACTTGTTCCCCTCTGTATTTATGGAAGCTGTTGCCAAGAAGCCCAACATGTTAGAATAAGTTTCCTTCACTTCCGTCTGTTTTATGTTCCAATCCTCTTCTATGTCTATGTTTTGTTTCATTCAGAAATAGAAGAGGATTGGAACATAAAATGTGATATGATATAGGCATATTCATTATTTTGAATTTTGATGAATGCAAATATAATTTCGGTAATTTTAAGAAGGTACTATCCAGTGAAGGTCATGCGCGCTTTGGGCGATTCTTTTCAAATCATTATTAAAGTGTTGCCAAGTAGCATCACACAATATATATCCAGATATAGCAAAATAAGCAGGCTTTGGTCGATAAGCTTCAATATTGTATTTGTGTTCATGTAGGTTGTAAATGTATGGTATTATCATTGCTATGGCTATATAATATCTGTTGTACATGACAACGTATTTGGAGCCAGAATTTTACTATCTGCCGAGAGCCGCATGATGGCATGTTTTTGTGCACGTCTTCATACTATCTGCACTGTTCACGTGCATTTGTAGCCAACCATCACTGAATGCTTCAGCGTGTTTTTTTTCATATTTCTTGTTGATCGCAAAGTTATGATCATTTGGACGACTAATAAAACACATTTTTAATCCTTGTTTGTGCTACTCTTACAGAAACTAAATAAAAGTCCAAGGATATGTCTGATCTTCAAATGTTTCTTTTTTTGTTTTATACAGTAATTATTGCAATGTTTTCATTGTGTGATGTGATATTGTAAAAAGAACAACTAGACTTTTGAGTAACTTAAAAATATAAATTCCAAAACATTTGACATACCTTAAGTCAATAATTATGTAATTATGGTTGTGTAATATAAGGTTCACCATTCGACAAATCTGGGTTTTCTGGGTTGTGACTGGTAAGGTCAGAGGTTTTCTGTGAGATTTTATATAGCAACCGAGTAGTCCCTAATTTTGCAGAGAAATGGCCATCAGACGTTACAATATTCCTGGAGCACGAATCTTCTATGGCATTCATGGAGCTGTATCCTATCGTGGTTGCTGCTAAACTTTGGGGACATTTGTGGACACACAGACGAGTGCTATTTGATTGTGACAACCAGGCCACGGAGTTTTTATTAAGAAGATGGAGAAATTTCGCAGACTGGTGCCGCAGGCATATGTACTCACACAACAGTGCCCACCCAGCTCAGACATCATGTGGACTTGAACAGTTACCTTAGTACCCCGTGGCAGCAGCTATCAGTCAGGGTACTAAATCTGCATACTCTACAGGCTTCCAGTGCTATGTAAATTTTCCGTTGAAATTCAGCCTAGTCAGCAACCTGTTACTCCAGTCCACCCTCTCACCGATAAGTGAGACTTATCTACAATATTTCGTGGATCAGTGTTTCGGATGCTAAAACTGAAACATGACACAGTGAAAACTTACCTGGCCGGCATCGAGTTCATGTACCTCCAAGCTGGTATCAAGACCCTTTTTGACGATGTATCTTCAGGAACAGTACACAGACTACAGACTTTATTAAGAGATGCAATCAACATCTACAAGAAGCGCTTGCCTATTACCTACAGTGTTTTATGTAAACTAGTGGTTCAGTTACAAGCAGGTGTGTTTGGATATTTCAACGATCTGGCTATGAATGTATGTGTATAACTGCCTATTTTGGATTTCTCTGTTGTGGAGAATTTACTTGTTCCTCGTCGTTTAATCCAGATGTACTTCTAACAGTGAGCGATGTGCCATTTGAACAGACACAACATAAGTGCATCTTAAAAGCTTCCAAAACAGATCCCTTCAGAAAGGGTGTGCAACTAGTGTTGTTCGCTACATCTAAGACTGTGTGTCCTTACATGACCCTTATGACATGGCTTCAAGTTAGGAAGTTGAACGGAGCAAGACCCAGTGATCCTCTCTTTGTGGAATCGAACTCTAGAGCTATTACTAGAGCTGTCTTCTTGTCCTGGCTTAACATTGCTCTCACCAGGGCAGGCTTAGAATCCAGTGCTTATTCTGGACATTCATTCCACATTGGTGCAGCAACTACAGCTGCTAGTGCCAGTGTGGGAGATCATTTGAGTAAACAGGTGAAATTCAGACTGTTTCACCAGATACATCATAACACCAGAAGAGACATTAAGGAAAGCCAAACGAACATTATTCTTTGAGTGACTCTTGACCAATGTGTGTGTTGTTCTGGGACATAACCTGGATAATATAACTCATTCGACAATGTTGGATTCAGTTTTTAATTCTCATATGTAGTATATTTAACATTATCGTCTTATATCATCAATTCTATACTTTTCTTATCACTTTGGGGGCTCTCGGTTTTTACCTCGCTTTGGGCTTTGCGGGTCAATCATTCTGTAGACTATCATTATATGGCTTGTGGCCCCCAAAGTATTTTCATTTTCACTCATACCCGCAGGGTATCACCCTTTCTACTGACCTCTAAATTACATTGCCCGCAGGGCAACCTTTCCTTATACCCGCAGGCTATCACCCTTTCTACTGATTTTCATTTCACTCATATCCGCAGGCTATCACCCTTTCTACTGATTTTCATTTCACTCATATCCGCAGGCTATCACCCTTTCTACTGATTTTCATTTCACTCATATCCGCAGGCTATCACCCTTTCTACTGACCCGCAGGGTCTCTAAATTACATTGCCCGCAGGGCAACCTTTCTTATCTGGTATAACCGTTTTAGAGGTACCCGCAGGGTTCTAAATCATTTTCATATATATTTCAAATATACTTATGCAACTCGCAGGGCTGTCTTTTTATACTACTTACCCGAAGGGTAAGTTACCTTTCCAACACCGAGTCAGCCCCCGAATCGTATGCCATGTCTTGTTTATAATAAACATTTGATCGTACTCAATTGTTTTTGTTGTCACTGCACAAAATGTTAATGTTAATATTTTGTTTGTGCAGTGATCAACATAGCCTTTCACCTATTATTAACATTGTTGTCTACACAACAGATGTATATATTTGTCACCTACGACCATCTTACAAAAATAGTCAGTTTGGACATAGCTATTGCATCTCTTGGCTTTAGGAGGCTTTAGGAGATATACGACAGATAGCGGATCTAACTGTAGTTCTCGTTTTAACCACTCAGAAAAACAACAAAATTACGCAATTATTCAACATTACGAAATGCCACGCCTGTCCGAAAATGAGCGCCTGCGAGCCATTGGTATGCTTGAAGCAGGATCGAGTCAACGTGATGTTGCAAGACAATTTGGCAACGTTGGCAACAGACGAATGCAGTCAGAGACCATCCTCGGAGTGGCAGGCCACGCGTAGCCAATACTCGACAAGACAACTGGATTCGAACAACACACCTACGAAATCGATTCCAGCCAGCAACAGTGACTGCAAGAAGCATCCCTGGCCTTCGACGAATATCTTCACAAACCGTACGTCGTCGCCTCAGATGTGCAGGGATTGTCGCCAGAAGACCCGCCAGACAGACGTCCCATTTTGACAGGAAACCACCGTCAAGCACGTCTACAGTGGTGCAGACAGCGTCTACGCTGGACGGCCATGCAGTGGGGATAAGTTCTAATCACTGACGAGTCTCGTTTTCACCTCAGCCACAGCGATGGACGGATTCGAGTGTACCGACGTCGAGGTGAACGTTACGTCAATCATGGTGTCATGGAAGACGATCGGTTCGGGGGCAGCAGCGTTATGGTATGGGGTGGGATAACAGCAAGACAGAGGACCCGTTTGATAGTGGTAGAGGGAAATCTCAATGGACAGCGCTACCGCGACAGATCATCGGCCCTGTTGTTCTACCGTTTTTGCGTCTTCATGGCCCAGGCAAGACCTTTCAACATGACAACGCCCGGCCTCATATTGCTCGACTTGTTCACTCTTCAACAAAACATCGTCAATGTCATCCCCTGGGCGGCTCGCTCCCCAATCGAGCACATGCGGGATGAGATGGATCGGCGCCTTCGACGTCAACTACGTGTTCCACAGACACGCCAGGAATTCGAAACATGCTCCAGCAGATATGGACAGATATCCCACATGACTTTGTGCGACGCCCTGTCCATTCCATGAGACGACGATGTGTTGCTTCAATCGCAACCAGAGGTGGACACACACGCTATTGATTGTAAATTGACATTTTGGCATGTTCATGTTTTTTTATATGAAATCACGCATTTTCTGAAGTCAATATGGCAAATAAAACCATTCGAACACTTACAGGAGTCTTTTATCTGTTGCAAACCGAAATTGTTTCAGATTTGGTAAAAAACATAACTTTGCATTAAATCTAAGTCAATGTCACAGGAACTTTTGTTGTTCAGTATATGTTCTCTGCCTCATTGCATTTATTCACCTGATAAAGGAGGAAGTATATTCTCCGAAACATTGTGTTCCTCATAAAAATAGAAGTTGACTTCCATAAATTCACTTCCTAATGTGTATCACTTCTAAATGCCTTTCAAAGACTTGATCCAAGCTATAGTCTGAATTTTACTTTTCATCCAGTGTAAATCGGGGTTTCCCAAATAGATTTCTCGGCACTGAGACTCGTTATACTATCCACAAATACATGTACATTCATACACTTGACATGTATACTATTAGGTTTGACGATCTAGTTTAATCAAACAATTCATAGCAACCGAATGAAAACGGACATGAACTAAACTACTTGGCATTAATCACACAGACTTGACGAAGGCCAGACATGGAGTCATACTCAGGTCTCATTTCACATAGTATGGGGGCGGTCGGGTAGCCTAGTGGTTAAAGCGTCACGCCGAAGACCAGGGTTCGATTCCCGACATGGGTACGATGTGTGAAGCCCATTTCTGGTGTCCCCCGCCGTGATATTGCTGGAATATTGCTAAAAGCGGCGTAAAACCGTACTCACTCACTCACTCACTCACATAGTATGCACTGTGTAACAGGGGCGACAATGCAGAGCCGCTGTGACTGTCCTCGGTGAGAGAACACTACTTCTTGTTCCGTTTAGCCGACACTGAATATATGACACAACGCTCCCGCTCATACGGTTACATTTAGAAAAAGTTGCGCCACCCTGTATACTACTTCCGGGTTTGGGGCGGTAGGGTAGCCTTGTGGTTAAAGCGTTCGCTCGTCACGCAGAAGACCAGGGTTCGATTCCCGACATGGGTACGATGTGTGAAGCCCATATCTGGTGTCCCCCGCCGTGATATTGCTGGAATATTGCTAAAAGCGGCGTAAAACCGTACTCACTCACATAGTATGCACTGTGTAACAGGGGCGACAATGCAGGGCCGCTGTGGCTGTGTTCGGTGAGAGAACACTACTTCTTGTTCCGTTTAGCCGACACTGAATATATGACACAACGCTCCCGCTCATACGGTTACATTTAGAAAAAGTTGCGCCACCCTGTATACTACTTCCGGGTTTGGGGCGGTAGGGTAGCCTTGTGGTTAAAGCGTTCGCTCGTCACGCAGAAGACCCGGGTTCGATTCCCGACATGGGTACGATGTGTGAAGCCCATATCTGGTGTCCCCCGCCGTGATATTGCTGGAATATTGCTAGAAGCGGCGTACAACCATACTCACTCACTCACTTCCGGGTTTGCCGAGTTTGTCTGCGGTCATGGCATTTAATTCGCTCCACTCAAACCTGGCGAAATTATAATTATACATAATATTAACACCTATTTATATCTGAGTTCAGTACTCACTACATGTCCTGACAAAAACCTTGTTGGCCAAAACAGTTGTTTGGACCCTCTATTTACAGAAAATAACAGCTGTGTCTTTTGAAGCAGTGACCAAATTTTCTATCTGTAACGGACATCCAAGACTGACGATCTCAACCTTGGGTGTTTCCCTTCTATTTATGGCATCATCATACCCCTTAATAGGACATGGGGAATACCCAAAACATCATCATAGCCATTAATAGGACATGGGGAATACCCAAAACATCATCATAGCCATTAATAGGACATGGGGAATACCCAAATGGATAATACAAATGTACATTCAAAAGATAGTACATTTATCGTGATGTTGATAATGAAATTGTTTTGACGTCTCTTTTGCTTTCACGTCATGTTGTTTCCATAAATGGAATCCTATTGTTCCGAAAATATCTTACTATGAAGATAATGACTTTAGAAAGAGACTTTGTCGTGTTTAAAAGTGAATCCCAAATAACCAACTTTTAACTCACTCACGACAAAATGATAAAAAGCAACTTTACAGGCAGATACAATATTTCTACTCTGAAACTACCTCAGCAGACTATTTTGAGGGACATGTCATGTGTATATTTAGCCAGTAAAGTGAGACCATGATCACGTGAGTGTAACTGAATCGTTTACAGTTGGACTATCCTCTCTCAACCGCCAATCAACAGCCGTGTTTCAACACACGGAAGGGCTTCAACGCATAAGGTTATCTAACCGAGCAATATTATCCTGTTCGTGATTCTGTGACGAAGTGTGTTCATACCTTTCGAATGTACGCTGTTAGGAGCTAGAGAACCTAAATTGTGTTGTAGCATTTCTGTAAATTGTGGTTATATATTTCGAGTTATTCATGGATTCCAACTGGCAGTTTTGAGCCAACCATGTTGGAACGAGTTGGTGTTTGTTACAAACGATTTTCTTACTTCGCGGTGTAAGTATGTTTCAATATCGTGAGTTTGTATGTTGTTTTAATTACCTTTGTATGAAATCAATTTGCTGCTTTGAATTAAATGATGTTCAACTGAGGACTTGTGTTTCATTTTGCCATGAAGAAAGGTGCCTTTTGTACTTTACCTTACGTGGGTCTATAAATACACAAGTGGGGGTGTTCCAGTGTAGTCTTAAAATAAATATGACACAGCTTTATGTACGGAAAATAGGCATGTAACTACTTTCCTCTAAAAGCACTGTCACTTATCAAATTTAGCGATTCAACAGCTCCGATGCTTTTTGGATGTCAGCAATTATTTGTTTTTAGTCTTTTGTGGTCTGACATTAGTCTGACAAATGTTGTGATAGATATGGATATCAAGACCAGGCGATTATTAGTGATCCGGTGATTATTTGAGCTCCGTAAATTATTAGAGAAAATACAGTTTTCTTCCGGAGTATGCGCATGCGCAGGACGGTGGAAAGAGGAAACGCTTAAACAGTTTGTTAGTAAGTTTGGCTAGTAATTGTCACAAACCTTCTTCCAATTAGATATGGAAAGTAATCAAATGACAGGTGCCATCTCAAAGGTGGGCCTGCAGATCACCAATGAGTCACCGGAATTTAGAGAGAGGCTCGATACATTTCAGGACTGGAGCAGTAGTGTTGTCAACAAGTATTCTCTTGTACGAGCTGGTTTCAAATTCATTGGTAGGTATTTTTATTTTTGTTCGTTGTTTTGCGCTATTGACAGCAATAAAGCGATTTCATTGCTGACTGTAAATAATCGAGTGCATGGGAAGTTGAATAGATGACCTTAGGTTAATCACTTATAACTTCTTTATTCTTTGTGGCTACGTTTTAGGAATACTTAGTGTCATGTATTCATGTTCTTCCAACTTCTATATGACAATCAAAGAAATAATTCTAAGTTACTAACCATATCACCTACAGTGGAATGCTAGCCATTATTTCAACGGGTGCATTGCCAAATAAAATTTGAGGTGAGGTGAGGTGAAATTGGGTTTATCGTTGCGTCCAAGATTATTGCACTTATATAGCGACGTGCATGCACACGTGTGTGTGTTGTTGCTTGTACTAGTCCGGACTAATGCCGATTTATAGTGCTAGCTCACTGAGATACCATGCCGCAGTTTAACATGAATACCCCACTCAGACACAGTATACTGACTCCGAACCGACCAGTCCTTGTTTTAGCCCCTTAATGCCGAGCGCCAGACAGGGTAACAACAAGTACCATCTTTAAACGTCTTTTGGTATGACGCGGCCGGGGATCGAACCCCGGACCTTCCGCTCTCCGGGCGGACGCTCTACCACTAGACCACGGAGGCGGTCCAAATAAAATGTAGCGCATGTGGGTGTCCTTGTGCATTTGCTACTTTCTGAAATGAGAATATTCGAACTATTTCAGGCCCTGGTGACAAGGTGCAGTGTGCATTCTGCGGGGGAAAGTTGTACGAATGGACCACCGATGATGATCCTTTTATCCAACACCAGAAGTTCTTCCCAGGCTGTGCCTTTATCCTACAGCTGGCACAAGACAAAAAGAAACCTGTTATAGCTCAGTACCAAGGGCTGGCCGATCGTAGGGCAACCTTTACCAGGGGAAGCGTACAGATCTTTTCACCAAACCGTTTTGCGGCTGCTGGCTTTTACTATGACAATGAGCTGACGCTGTGTTTCTACTGTGGGGTGCAACTCCGGGATTGGGGCCCAAATGATGACCCGGTCCTTGCACATCAAATCTTTAATCCAGGCTGTGGCTACATAATGGACTCGTTGAACTTCCAGAGACTTGGCATCTCAGAACATGCTGATGGGTCAGTTGAATGTCTTCGACACACTGCAGAGTCAAGTCTAATCAAGGATCCACATCTTCGGGCACAGCTGGATGATGTCACCTCGTCCCACCCCCTTGTTAAGGAGTTACCAAATAAGTATGATATTGAAACAAAACTCCAAGAAATGAAAATCCAGATTATTAGAACTGGAAGGAACTTTGAGACTGTTGCAGATTTTATTGCTGGGGTTGATAAGCGAAAAGAAGCAATGGGAATCAAAACAACTGATACCCAAATGACTGGCCCAGGTCCACAACTCTTTTCTGAGAACCAGAGACTTCGCCAGTTGAAGTTGTGCAAGTCATGCAATACTGATGCCTTGGTTGTCTTCTTGCCATGCGGTCATCTGGTTAGTTGCTACTCGTGTGCAGCGACCATTCATAAATGTCCCATCTGCAGTGCGGGGATTCATGGTACAGTGCCAGTTTATTATTCATGACATATCTGTGAAGATCTTGGTGGTATTTGACTAAGTAGTGAATGTTGTTCAAGGTCAAAGCCCGCAATATTCCAACCACAAGAAAAAGGATAATTCACTATGAACTCGTAAAACAGTGCAAGACATGCAATGACGATGATGCCATGGTGGTCTTCTTGCCATGTGGACATCTGATTAGCTGCTACTTGTGTGCTTCTTCAGTTCAGAAGTGTCCCATCTGCCGAGCAAGGATCCAGGGTACAGTGCCAGTATTCATGACACGTCTTTGAAGACCTTGGGGGTATTTGAGTGTGTGAATGCTGTTTAACACCAAAGACAGCAATATTCCAACTACGCATATATATCACTGAATTATTAGGGTAATGATCCAAGCAATAAGGGTTCAACAACAGGCCTTTTACCAATTTGTGAAACATGTGAAATCTTGCTGCCTTGACCTGAACATGTGAAATATTGCTGCCTGTAATAAATGTAATCAACCTAAATTATTATTCTTTTCATTTGTAATAATGTGTGCTGTATATCCTTAGTTCTGCTTTAGATTTGTGACACCTGTTTCTTCTCATCATGTGGCATGACCCAGTCCTTGCAACCATTTGGAGGAACAAAGTATTCTTGTACCCACCTTTCAGCAGACACTGGTGGCGTCAGACATTATGAAAAAAAACAAGGCCAATGTCATATGTAGATATTTCCAAAACACACTTTTAACTATAGAATGTAGAAGTGAGTGAGTATGGTTTTACCCCGCTTTTAGCAATATTCCAGCAATTTCACGGAAGGGGGCACCAGAAATAGGCTTTATACGCTGAACCCATGTCGGGAATCGAACCCGGATCTTTGGCGTGATGAGCGAATGCTTTAACCACTAGGCTACCCGACCGCCCCATAGAATGTATGATAAAACAAAAGGATGGTGTCTTACTTTTCCAGGTATATATTTATATATTTTGTCAATTTTATCAATAAAATAAGGTGTTGAATAGCAATATGTTGTCTGCGTAGACAGTATGAGATGGAAGTGTAGAGCTAACAGAACAGATCACGATGAAAAATGGAGAAACAATGACAAAGGCTAACAATGAAAATGTTTTTGTGTTTTTATTGTTTTGTTTGTTTAATGCCACACTCAGCAATATTCCAGCTATATGACAGTGGTCTGTAAATAATCGAGTCCAGGCCAGATAATCCAGTGATTCACTCAGCAATATTCCAGCTATATGACGGTGGTCTGTAAATTATCGAGTCCAGACCAGATAATCCAGTGATTCACATCATGAACATCAATCCACGCAATTGGGATACGATGACATGCATCAACCAAGTCAGCGAGCCTGACCAGCCGATCCTGTTAGTTGCCTCTTACAACAAGCATAGTCATCGCCTTTTACAGCAAGCATGGGTTACTGAAGACTGATAACATGAAGGAGAACTAAAAAGTAAAACAGCTGAGTGACATGCCAGCTTATTTTGGGAAAACAAGACGCACAACATGTCCATTACCACTTACATTAAAACCACGATCACAGGTATGGTTTCATTATTAGGATATCATTATTAGGGTGATTACTAGAACTTAAACCCATATTCATAGGATCCTGTCACGACTAAGGGATTCAACTCCATTCAGACAATTCAGCCACCCAGCCTTGAGAGATGTGTTACAAACAAATCATGACATGAAAGCATGTCTAACAATATGATAAAAGTCATTCTGTCGATTTGTGAGAACTAAAATTTGAAACTGATCACAAAGGTCAAGATGGTTCAAATTGGAATGATGGTGACAAACAAACATGGTTGGTAATATGAACATACACACAACCGTCTTTCATCATATTCAATAACCATGGTAAAATATCCATAACATATCACAAGTACACCATCATTAAAATGGGTTTAATGCCGCTTCCAACAGTATTGCAGTCATATCACGGTGTGTCAGCTTAATGTGGGAGGAAAGCCCGAAGTGATGCAGGTCTAAGACGGGTATGATGACGACACCTAGAAATCGGGGTGGAGCAGGATTCGATCTCACGACTATAGGTGTCTGATGTGCCTGAGGGATGCAACTCTGGACAGCAAATTGCAGAGCCTCAGATGACTGGGCCCCATAGTGTCCCCCCCATATCATCATCATACTCATCTATATTGAACACTGACTCATCCCTTGTGACAGTTTAGACCCTTCTCAACTCTATGTAAAAGAAACTGTCATCATGTTGTTCTTTATTGTACTGTTATTTCATTAGAAGCATGTTACCCAAATTGCATTTCTTTCTTTTACAGATTTTCAGTGTTTAATTAGGATGAAAATAGACCCCATAAAGTTTTTAAGATATTTCAATTATATAATTCAAAATTTAAACGAATTAAATTTCTGCCATTTTTGTCATTATTACACAAGATAATTTTCATTCCCCATTAGACAAGCATACAAGTTTGAGGTGATTTTTGAAATAAGTACCCTTGTATATAAAAACTGCATCAAGCTATTCTGGTCTGTCTTAACAAATGCTTTGATGTATACACAGTAAGAACTTCTTACTAAGAAGACTGATCAATCTATACACCATTTAGTAATCTAAATAATTCATATCATCAGAATAGTCACTTTTCTGCTGTCAATAAAATCAATCAGTTACTTTTGCCTTTTACACAAGGACAGAACACGATCACTCAAGACTGTGAAACAGATTCATCAGTGGCCTCTTTGAGTTTTTCCTCCAGAGCAACATCTAGCTCCTTGTGGAGATCCTTGTCAATGTCCACTGTGTGCAAGTCTTCCATGCCTTCTTTCGGCTCGTCTCCGATAAGAATGTCGATGAGACTCATGATGGCGACATTGTTGACTCGATCTGTCTCCCACTTATGGAGTTCTCTCATAATGACGTAGGTGTTCTTCTCCTTGATGTACAGCCGCCATTTCCTCATTGAACAAAGCTGGGACAAGAAATAGTTGAGTTAGCACAAAGGGTGTGTGAGTGAGTGAGTATGGTTTTACGCCGCTTCGTCTTCGGCGTGATGAGCGAACGCTTTAACCACTAGGCTACCCGACCGCCCCGTTAGCACAAAGAGAGAGAGAGAGTGAGAGTGGGAGAGTGAGGCAGATTTTATGCTGCTTCTAGCATTATTCAAGCAATATACAGGCAGGGGACACCTGAAAAGGGCTTCACACAATGTACCCATGTGAGAGTGAGTTTTGTTTTACCCTGCTTTTAGCAATATTCCTGCCACATCACACCTGAGGATGCCTGAAATGGGCTTCACACACTGTACCCTTGAGGTGAACTGAACCCGGGTCTTTGTCGTAACAGGTAAACGCTTTAACCATTAGGCTACTCCCTCACCCTGCTAGTACAAAGAGTATTCTCCCATCCCATATATTGGGTCTGAACCCAAGCCTAGTAATTGACAAATGAGGCAACCCAAGCAAGTGTTGTTTGTTTGTTGTTTACACCACACTCAGCAACATTCCAGCTATATGACAGCGGTCTGTAAATATTCAAGTCTGGACCAGACAATCCAGTGATTGACATCATGTGCAATCGATCCACACGATTGGAATACGATGACATGCATCAAGCAAGTCAGCGAGCCTGACCACCAAATCCTGTCACTCACCTTTTACAGCAAGCATTGCCAAGTAAGTTAAGGGTTGTGCAAATGAAGGAAGAGAAATTTTTTTCACGTCTACATCTTTCCCTGACATGAGTGAGTGAGTGAGTTTGGTTTAATACGGCTTTGAGCAATATGCCAGTTATATCAACTGTTGACCTCAAGTGAGTGCACAAACACGAATCCTCATTCTCAAAACTGTAGATGATCCTTAAGGGGCTCCATAAAACCATCTTTGTTGACACTGTGGATAGTCCTTGAAGAGCTCCACAAGAACCCCTATGTTAATACAGAAGATACTCCTCAACATGCTCAAGGAGCTCCACATTACCACTTTCTTAACACTGTAGATGCTCCTCAAGGAGCTCCATTAGACTCCCTATGTTAACACTGTAGATGTTCCTCAAGGAGCTCCATTAGACTCCCTATGTTAACACTGTAGATGTTCCTCAAGGAGCTCCATTAGACTCCCTATGTTAACACTGTAGATGTTCCTCAAGGAGCTCCATTAGACTCCCTATGTTAACACTGTAGATGTTCCTCAAGGAGCTCCATTAGACTCCCCATGTTAACACCTGTTGAAGCTCCCCAGGGAGCTCCATTAGACTCCCTATGTTAACACTGTAGATGCTCCACAAGGAGCTCCATTAGACTCCCTATGTTAACACTGTAGATGCTCCTAAAGGAGCTCCATTAGACTCCCTATGTTAACACTGTAGATGTTCCTCAAGGCGCTCCATTAGACTCCCCATGTTAACACTGTAGATGCTCCACAAGGAGCTCCATAAGACCCCCTATGTTAACACTGTAGATGCTCCACAAGGAGCTTCATTAAACTCCCTATGTAAACACTGGATGTTCCTCAAGAAGCTCCATTAGACTCCCCATGTTAACACCTGTTGAAGCTCCTCAAGGAGCTCCATTAGACCCCCTTTGTTAACACTGTAGATGTTCCTCAAGGCGCTCCATTAGACTCCCCATGTTAACACCTGTTGAAGCTCCCCAGGGAGCTCCATTAGACTCCCTATGTTAACACTGTAGATGCTCCACAAGGAGCTCCATAAGACCCCCTATGTTAACACTGTAGATGCTCCACAAGGAGCTCCATTAAACTCCCTATGTAAACACTGGATGTTCCTCAAGAAGCTCCATTAGACTCCCCATGTTAACACCTGTTGAAGCTCCTCAAGGAGCTCCATTAGACCCTCTATGTTAACACTGTAGATGTTCCTCAAGGAGCTCCATTAGACTCCCTATGTAAACACTGCAGATGCTTCTCAAGGAGATCCATTAGAACCCCTATGTAAACACTGCAGATAATCAAGGAGATCCACTAGACCCCCTTTGTTAACACTGTAGATGTTCCTCAAGGAGCTCCATAAGACCCCCTATGTTAACACTGTAGATGCTCCACAAGGATCTCCATTAAACTCCCTATGTAAACACTGGATGTTCCTCAAGAAGCTCCATTAGACTCCCCATGTTAACACCTGTTGAAGCTCCTCAAGGAGCTCCATTAGACCCCCTTTGTTAACACTGTAGATGTTCCTCAAGGAGCTCCATTAGACCCCCTATGTTAACACTGTAGATGCTCCACAAGAAGCACCATTAGACCCCCTTTGTTAACACTGGAGATGTTCCTCAAGAAGCACCATTAGAACCCCTATGTTAACACAGTAGATGCTCCACAAGAAGCACCATTAGACCCCCTTTGTTAACACTGTAGATGCTCCTCAAGAAGCACCATTAGAACCCCTATGTTAACACAGTAGATGCTCCTCAGGGAGCTCCATTAGACCCCTACGTTAACACTGGACGTTCCTCAAGAAGCTCCATAAGACCCCCTATGTAAAACACTGTAGATGCTCCACAAGGAGCTCCATTAGACTCCCTATGTTAACACTGTAGATGTTCCTCAAGGAGCTCAATTAGACCCCCTATGTAACACTGTAGATGTTCCTCAAGAAGCTCCATAAGACCCCCTATGTTAACACTTTAGACGTTCCTCAATGAGGTCGACTAAAACCCCTATGTTAACACTGTAGATGCTCTACAAGGAGCTCCATTCTACCCCCTATGTTAACACTGTAGATGTTCCTCAAAAAGCTCCATAAGACCCCCTATGTTAACACTTTTGACATTCCTCAATGAGGTCCACTAAAACCCCTATGTTAACACTGTAGATGCTCTACAAGGAGCTCCATTCTACCCCCTATGTTAACACTGGATGTTCCTCAAGAAGCTCCATAAGACCCCCTATGTTAACACTGTAGATGCTCCACAAGGAGCTCCATTAGACTCCCTATGTTAACACTGTAGATGTTCCTCAAGGAGCTCAATTAGACCCCCTATGTAACACTGTAGATGTTCCTCAAGAAGCTCCATAAGACCCCCTATGTTAACACTTTTGACATTCCTCAATGAGGTCCACTAAAACCCCTATGTTAACACTGTAGATGCTCTACAAGGAGCTCCATTCTACCCCCTATGTTAACACTGGATGTTCCTCAAGAAGCTCCATAAGACCCCCTATGTTAACACTGTAGATGCTCCACAAGGAGCTCCATTAGACTCCCTATGTTAACACCTGTTGAAGCTCCTCAAGGAGCTCCATTAGACCCCCTATGTTAACACTGTAGATATTCCTCAAGGAGCTCCACTAGACCCCCTATTTTAACACTGCAGAAGCTTCTCAAGAAGCTCCATTAGGCCCCCTTTGTTAACACTGTAGATGTTCCTCAAGGAGCTCAATTAGACCCCGATGTTAACACTGTAGATGTTCATCAAGAAGCTCCATTAGACCCCCTGTAGATGCTCCTCAAGGAGATCCATTAGACCCCCTATGTAAACACTGCAGATGCTCCTCAACATGCTGAAGGAGATACATTAGAACCCCTACGTAAACACTTCTCAAGAAGATCCATTAGAACCCCTTATGTAAACACTGCAGATGCTCCTCAAGGAGATCCATTAGAACCCCTATGTAAACACTTCTCAAGAAGATCCAATAGACCCTCTATGTAAACACTGCAGATGCTCCTCAAGGAGATCCATTAGAACCCCTATGTAAACACTTCTCAAGAAGATCCAATAGACCCCCTATGTAAACACTGCAGATGCTCCTCAAGGAGATCCATTAGAACCCCTATGTAAACACTTCTCAAGAAGATCCAATAGACCCCCTATGTAAACACTGCAGATGCTTCTCAAGAAGATCCATTAGAACCCCTATGTAAACACTTCTCAAGAAGCTCCATTAGACCCCCTGTAGATGCTCCTCAAGGAGATCCATTAGACCCCATATGTAAACACTGCAGATGCTCCTCAAGGAGATCCATTAGAACCCCTATGTAAACACTTCGCAAGAAGCTCCATTAGACCCCCTGTAGATGCTCCTCAAGGAGATCCATTAGACCCCATATGTAAACACTGCAGATGCTCCTCAAGGAGATCCATTAGACCCCATATGTAAACACTGCAGATGCTCCTCAAGGAGATCCATTAGACCCCATATGTAAACACTGCAGATGCTCCTCAAGGAGCTCCATTAGAACACCCATGTAAACACTTCTCAAGAAGATCCAATAGACCCCTTATGTAAACACTGCAGATGCTCCTCAAGGAGATCCATTAGAACCCCTATGTAAACACTTCTCAAGAAGATCCAATAGACCCCCTATGTAAACACTGCAGATGCTCCTCAAGGAGATCCATTAGAACCCCTATGTAAACACTTCTCAAGAAGCTCCATTAGACCCCCTGTAGATGCTCCTCAAGGAGATCCATTAGACCCCATATGTAAACACTGCAGATGCTCCTCAAGGAGATCCATTAGAACCCCTATGTAAACACTTCTCAAGAAGATCCAATAGACCCCCTATGTAAACACTGCAGATGCTTCTCAAGAAGATCCATTAGAACCCCTATGTAAACACTTCTCAAGAAGCTCCATTAGACCCCCTGTAGATGCTCCTCAAGGAGATCCATTAGACCCCATATGTAAACACTGCAGATGCTCCTCAAGGAGATCCATTAGACCCCATATGTAAACACTGCAGATGCTCCTCAAGGAGCTCCATTAGAACCCCTATGTAAACACTTCTCAAGAAGATCCAATAGACCCCCCATGTAAACACTGCAGATGCTCCTCAAGGAGATCCATTAGAACCCCTATGTAAACACTTCTCAAGAAGATCCAATAGACCCCCTATGTAAACACTGCAGATGCTCCTCAAGGAGATCCATTAGAACCCCTATGTAAACACTTCTCAAGAAGCTCCATTAGACCCCCTGTAGATGCTCCTCAAGGAGATCCATTAGACCCCATATGTAAACACTGCAGATGCTCCTCAAGGAGATCCATTAGAACCCCTATGTAAACACTTCTCAAGAAGATCCATTAGAACCCCTATGTAAACACTGCAGTTATGTACCTGTGTAACTGCTTCCACCAACATCTTCCGAATGTCTGGATCCTTCTCCCGCTCCTTCTCTGGAGGTAGGTACTGGAGGTCATCCGGGAGTCGGTCCATGTCATCCTCGTCAAACTCTTCTGGCCCAGCCAGGGGCAGCAGCAGTCGAGGCAAGATGTCCACCTGGTCCCCCATCAACCAGTCATGGCGGTCTACACAAACACAGAATCAGTGTGTAGCAATGTACTTACCTTTAGAATGTGACAAGATGTCAACCAGTTGTGGCAATCTGCACAAATACCATCTTCCCGAGGCAGTTAACTGACTTTATAAGTCCAGTTTCCACAATTGCCGAACTAGGCTTGAATTTCCAGGCTTGATCATAGCGCCACTCATGATTACGACCCATCAGTTGACATCTCTCATAAACCAAATGGCGGCGCCCAGTCAAGACGATTTGATCAAGATCTTTATTGTAATAAAATGGGTCTTACCTCGCGAAGTGCATCAATCACTTGAGCACCTTCATTAAAATCATGAAAAGATTTTGAAAATATCTGTCGACACCCAGTTGATGACACACTACTCTGCAAATCCTGCAGTCGACCGAAATCAGTCAGTTAACTCCCTTGCTTCGGGAAGATGCACAAATACAGAATCAGTGTACAGTCAAGTCCTGTTAATCCGACATCAAAGGTTGCATATGATTGTGTCGGATTAACGAGTATGTCGGATAAACGAAATTTAGTAGTATCAATGTTCGTGATCGAAAATCGGATAACTACACAATAGATAAGGATTCAAACACGTTATAAAAAATATAAAATATATATTCATATTGTTATGTTACATTGTTGGCGGAATATGTTTTCTAATCATGCAACCTCTAAAGTTTAACACAAAACAACTGTTACGGACTGTATGACAAATTCAAAATACTTTAAAAAGCATAGTCTGGAATGGAAGTCGCAACTTTGAAACTGGTACCCAAAGCTTAAGAAAGCTGCTTTTTAAGTGGCTAATGTCGACTTCCTGTTGGTCATTTCATTCGTCGGTCATAGTTCGCGAAATGTTGTTCTGACGTGACTTGTAATGGGATGTCCTCGTCGATAGCGAGAACTTGTATCTGATTTTAATAAGATTGAGGTAATCTAAGCATGTGAATTATCCTGTTTTCTTTATTTAAAGCTTTAATTGTTTATTGTTAAGCAAGTTTATCTCTGCAGCTTTGTAATATGCAGCTACCAGCCAACTCGCCTCGCATCAAAACACTGGCTGTGTACCCGCGGGCAGATGACCACGGAGTACGCTGATCACTGTGTCGGATTAACGAGACTGATTAATGAGTGATTTCGGTAATTCGTTGCAAATTAGGTGTGTCGGAGTCGGAGTACGAGACTGTCGGATTAACGGGTCTAAATAGCACTGATTTAATCGGTTCCCATCATAAGTGTCGGATAAAGCCGATTGTCGGATTAACGAGTGTCTGATTAACGAGATTTGACTGTATAGCCATGTAAAGATTTACAAGTAGAAAGTGACAAGATGTCCCGGTGACATCCCATCAACCTGTCGTGGCAGTCTACACAAACACAGAATGTGTGTGTGTGTGTGTGTGTGTGTGGGGGGTAATTCTGGAGAAGCGTCTGTCAACAGCATAATCTGACAGTGAACAACAGTGCATGAAAGTCACCCTGATGCCCTGCAGATGGATCATCAGGACTCAAATGTCAAAATAACAATGCATATTTTCCTCTGAACATGCTCAAGATGCACAATACTTTTTCCCCCATAGTTTCCAGTGAGGGAGTGAATGAATGTTGCTTTATGCCACAGTCAGCAATCAGTTTTGGAAATTAAGCATGAAGGTCCTGGGGTCCTAATATTACAAAGATTGAGAGGGCTCCAGACTCATATACCACAGTAACATGTGTTAAGGACCCCAGGACTCCCACCCTCGCACTTAATTTGAATGCTGGCAATTTGCCAAGTCTATCTTGGCAGCCTGTAAAGAACCAAGACTGGACCAGACAAACCTGTGACTGAACACCTGAGCATCAACCCTTCCATCACCGTCATACAGCTGGAATATTGCTGATTGAGGTGTTAAAATCAAAACAAAAAACACACACACCAGACAGCCTGACCACCCACATCCATTACCCAGCTGCTGAAACTCTGTGCTGCTCCCCAAAACTGGTTTTATTTTGAATTGTCGCTACACAGATCCAAATCTGCATTGTGTGCAATTGTTGTTACTGTTAATCCCACTCGTGTATGCAATTGTTGTTACTGTTAATCCCCTGCCGTTAATTCTCCACCTACTATAAACATTCTGTACAATGCCCCTCATTCAGTCCTGCTTGACAACGGTATAAGGATCTGTACCGAAATGTCGCTTTTTACAGTATTAAAGAAGTTGTTATCCATAAAATTGTGTCTACCTTGTCACCCATCAACTTCTAAGTAATGCCTATCTAACAAAGACAAAATATGCAGAAAACAGGGTCCTTATCAACTTATCCTTTGTCCTATGGAAAACATCAACTAACCTGTCTCAAAGCAGCAATTTTTCAGAGTTCCAACAACCCCTCCTCTTCGTAGATGGGAGCCTTTGTATTCTGTGAATGGTATCAGCCTTTGTAGAATGCGACTGTTCTTGTCCATCAACTCCTGTCTGATGGAGGAAATCTGAGTCAGATTGGACAGGAGCAGCCCCAGACAGTCCAGGGTAGCAGACTGGTTGTAGTCCAAGTTACACAGAGCGTCAACCATCTTCTCCACACCAACATCATCGCGATGCTCTTCCACGACAGCTGCAAGTTTCAGAGCACATCTCTGTGTCCGTGTCATATTGGCTAACATGCTGCCCACCAGGTCGGCAAAATCACTTTCTTTTCTCAACAAATATTTCATCAAGTCTAGACTTATATTGGGAAATTTGGCCAGATTTAGTAAACGCCATGAAATGTCTTCATCTGTTGCCAAATTGAGCAAACTTCGGAACGCATCTTTTACGATATCTTGCATGTCATCAGAGGTCAAGGACACAATCGCTTCCAGGAAAACTGGATTATCTTTGACAAACTGAACACCCTCTTTCTTCCCAGTTAGACCAAGTATGAAGCCGAGAGCCTTGTGTTTCACGTCTGGTCGAGCAGATGGAGACAGAAATGGCAGCATTTCCTCCTTCACTGTCTGCATGGTCGCTTCATCAAGGGCAGACATTGTCTGGAAACAAATCAGAAGGCATTGTTACCATGGTTACCTTTGCTGCTAAATCAGAGCATTGTCCGTCTTTGTCTTCAGTAAATTTTACTGTCCATCTTTAGTACATATAGTTATGTAATCCTCTTCCAATAACATGACAAAGCTATTTCAACTGAGTGAGTGAGTGAGTTGGGTTTAACGCCGCTTTTAACATTATTCCAGTTATATCACGGCGTGTCAGCTTAATGTGGGAGGAAAGCCCGAAGTGATGCATGTCTCAGACGTTTACCACTTCGGTGAAACCCACGAGCACGGGTATGGTGCTGACAAACCTAGAAACATAATCGGGGCGAACCGGGATTCGAACCCACAATCATAGGTTTCTGGCGTGTCCAAGGGACGCAACTCTGCACAGCGAATCGGGGCACCTTAGACGACTGGGCCACCCGTGCCCCCAATATTTCAACTGAAACTGTGTCTTGTTTTCAACCAGAACATGTGAACTATTCCAGTGTTCCCCATACCTCTTGATAATTTTGTTTACATGAAATTCTTAGGGAAGCAGCTTAACTTCTTCATGCTAGTTGCGTTTTCAGTTTCATAACTCATTTACTTTCTTTGTAAAATCTTCATTTACTCAGTTCTCAAAACAAGCATCAGATAAGCGTGATAATGTGACATATTCTTTCCTGGAATCCCAAATGCAAATATTATTTAATAAGTGTATGTATATGATGTATTATTATGAGAAGACCGCCGTCATATAGCTATATACATATATATATATATATCAGTATGGTCACAAACCTGTAGTCAAAACGGCCACAAAGAAAAAGTCAAAACGGCCACCTCAAAAAATAATAATAACGTGAGCAGGATGTGTACAGGGTATGCATGTCAGATGTTGTTATTACAATGTATTATCTTCCAGTGGAGTGCATGTGTTGTTGTTTTAACCAATCACATCAATTTACTATGATCTCCGTACTGACCAGTGTCAAACCGTTGTGCAATCTCATTAAAATCAGATCTTAGTTCTCGCTACCGCTAAACAAAGATCTGAGGACATCCCATTATAGGTCATGTCAGACCGACCTTGCGTGAACTTTGACTAACCAATGGAATGACCAATCAGAAGGCAGCTTTCTCGCGCTTTACGGCACTAATTTCAAATTGTCGACCACGCTTCGAAACATATTTTGGCAAATTCTCGATTACAAATTTGAAACCTGAACAAAAGAACAATCTGGAATTGCTTATAGGTGGTTTGGATTGTATGGATTCAGTCGTTAAACCCGTAACTATCGTTCGGAGTTGAAGTTTTCGAGGTTGCATGATTAGAAATCACATTCCGACTGTCACATTCATAATCTGGTAAGCGATGCTGTGATTGGTCGGATGAAAGGTCGTTCTGACGTGACCCTAGTGGGATGTCCTTAGATCTTTGTTCAGCGGTAGCGAGAACTGAGGTCTAATTTTAATGAGATTGACCATTGTGTAAACATGAATAAACGTTTATTCTAATGATGATGAAACCCTTTGCTGCCTGGAGATTATACAAGGGAGGGGACACCATATGGGCTTCAAACTATGAACCAAAGGTTCAAATGTGTGATGTGTAGTTAGTGCTGAAGATCTGTGAGTCTACAATTAATCTGATCTGATCTAAGAACTGTTATACAATGTATATAATGCAATCAATGCATAATACAATTAATGTGACACAATACTTGAGTTTGTCGTCTTTAATTTCTGTGTGGCTGTTATGACTTTTTTTTGGTGGCCATTGTGCCTTATTTGTGGGCGTTTTGGCTTTTCTGGGGCCCTTTCGACACGCTATCCCTTCAGACCCCTAAACACAAGTCTTGAAAACACCTGAAATCAATTCCATACTCTGCATAAACACAGGGACAGGAGAGGTCCCTTTCTATCACATTGAGATGACAGTAGCACATATACACGAAACTCTCGAAGCCAAAAGGATCACATGTTAATTAAAATGTATAACAATAACTTGTAAGTTGTATTCTGACACATACCTTGGTCAACAAAACACAAAACACACGTGCGTGTGCAGAAACCCCAGTTATCTCCCTTGCGGAAGCTGTTTTGTTTCGTTTCGAACAATACATTTGGTTGTTGATTGACTCACAATCACATTAATGTAGAGCTTATCGATAATAAATGTTTATAATATCATTACCATCAAATTAACGCCAGTTTGATTATGTCAAATTACGAAAAAGCAGATGTGTTTAACTCTGTGCAGGTGTCCATGTTGCGGTAATATTTCCTGGTGGAAGAATTTTTTCAGAATATTTCTTTTTCACTTATTGATCAGGTTCTTTGTAGAAAAAATATCATTTTCATTCGCCATACGTAACCCGATTTTCTTTTCATTCTGGCGCAAACATGATTAATATCTAAATCCAAACACTCCAGAGTAAACAAATGTGATTAAGTTTCAATAAAAAAAATGATTCTGTGAGTTAAGAATTGATGTTGGTTATAGATGGCGTAGACTCAAATGTACAAAAGCGGTTAGATAACGGGTTAGACTTGATCGTTTCAGCTCCGTATTGGCCGACATCTTGCACGTTCAACATTCATAGAATATGGTATGATTATGAAGACTTGACAATGTGCTATTATGTTTCAGAATTTCATGATGGGATAGAACTGTATGTGATGTCTTGCATGTTGAAGGTAATGGTGATACCATCAAATGAGTAAAGTTAATTCTTCGATGGACATAGCCTTATATGTGCATTGATAAAACATTCATGCAGGAAAGATTGTAAACTTACAACTGTGTAACAGGTGATTATCATCCCTTTCCTTCTATAATTGGTTTTAAGAAACCTTTCTCTGAGATAGAACATTATAAGCATGTGTCAGAGGAACAGTCAGATTGTAAGCGATGTTGAGACTCTGATCACTAGTTCAAGGACCCGTGAAGATTCCGGGTTAGAATAGGTCTTCAGCAACCCATGCTTGCCATAAAAGGTGACTATGCTTGTCGTAAAAGGCGACTAACAGGATCGGGTGGTCCCAATTCCGGATCAATGCTCATGATATTAATCACTGGATTGTCTTGTCCAGACTCTATTGTTTACAGACCACGGTCATATAGCTGTAATTTTGCTGAGTGCAGCGTTAAACAACAAACCAACCAATGAACATTAGTTCAAGCCTTTGTATTCAAATTAAGAGCAATACATTTTCAGCACATTTTTAAGACAACAGCTACAAGTATCACAACCTTAAATTGTACAGGCCTCAGTGTGTTGCACAGTTTTACTTTTGGCTCAAACTAAATTTCCTTGTGATCAGAACCTCAACAGTTTTAGCTCACCTGCACCAAAGGTCAAGTGGGCTGGGTTATTCATTGTGTCTGTGATGTCTGTAGGTTCTCAGAAATTTATCTGAAATAGGTTACCGTATTCGACGTAATAAGCGCCCAGGGCGCTCTCAAAATGAGAAATAGGGGGCTCTTATTAGAATAATATTTTGGTGAAAAAAAACAGAGTTGAAAGATAAATTTCGTGGTTTATGCTGAAAGCCGAAATGTTTATGTACGACAGATATATTTTTCCAGAATTTAATTGCCCATGATTAAGGATGCATATAACACACGAGTGCGTATTATACGCGAATAAATAAGTCTTGTGTACATTGATCAATCTGAAGGGGTGTCAATTGGGATTGTTCACTAGCCAATATATTAGCAAATATCGCCGTGGGCGCTTATTAGAGCGGGGCGCTTATTACGTCGAATACGGTATCTGAAATTTAACTTGTAAGTTGCTGGTTTCCTCCAGTGATTTATGACACCTAAGATGCTGTCACAGCTTTATGGAAAAACATGCTTGTCATGTTTTGGCTCAAAGTAATTGTGAGCGCAATTGTCTTAAAATAGGTATCTGGGGAATATTTAGTGGGTCTCAAAGTAATTTTTGGTTTTTGATATGATTTGGGTATTGGACCTCTACCATCCTATCACCATAACATAAAAAGTTCTTTTGATTTGCATTCTTCATCTGAAAATGCTGCAATTTGCCTTTACTTGGCATACAATTACCACAAAGGTTTGCAAAATAATCTTTTTATATTTATCAGATTGATTTTTTAAACAAACGAAAGGAGTAAAAATGTTTGGGAAAACAGAAATATAAAAAAGAAAGAACTTACTACATTTTGCAAAAATACAGACCAGCAAATTGAATCTGCTCAAATGATCATAAGAAATATATTTTTGTGTATTGATTTAGTGTGTTTATCACTGACCTTCACAGCCTGGATGATGTTCAAGTTATGATTTTGGGAATTTCTTCTCATATTTGAAACTGCCAAGCCAATCAACATGCTGAAAACTTGTTTGTTTTTCATCATAAGAAACTTTCTTTTCTTCAAGCAAAGCGACTGTAAGGAGCTTATGAGTAAGTGAGAGTTTATGCAGTTGTCAGCAGTATTTGAGGTATTTCATAATCATGATAGTGAAGAACAGCAAGAATGAACGTGCAGAATTTGTCTATATTTGGCGTGTGATTCCTGTACAAGACAGACAAATGTTTTAACACTTAGACATTGAAGGGAACTCAATAAGATCAAGGGTCTTGTAAGATATTTGTTATATTAATGATAACTGAATTTTCATGTGTTTTGATCTGAATAAGTTGTTGATTTATCCTTTGTTTCATAAATCCTATTGGTGTCTGTTTTTCTTTGCTGTCGAATATCAAACAGAAATAATTAGGTGAGCTACAGTGCCACTGTGCTGTTATTGAGACTAACATGTTAAGCCTTTGTTGGACATTGTTTGGTTTGTATTGTAATAATTCTTATATTTCTAAAAGTTTCTGATTTCTCTGTTTTTGCATTTCCTCAGGGGATGAAAACTTTATGGCCAGCCAATATTTTAAGATGCACTGTGCATTGTACTTGTAAAGCTGAGGTCCATAACCTAACCAACGTCAGCATTACCAGTACTTTCAGCAGTGTATGAGATCTCCTGGTCACATGCTCAGGTCATGTGACTGTCACATGACCTTTCATCGACAGGACAAGCTTTGATGGAATATCGTCGTCATTGCTGAACCTCACTGATGATATATATGATCATCGTTCAAATTGGCTTTCCTTGACAAATGAATGTTGTTACCATTTGGTTATTTCTGACAAAAATCTTTTTGAAGTTGGTTTCAGTTGACTTTCATTCTCTTTTTTTTGGCCAATTTTTTAGGTTTCATCTAAGACTCGTATGTTCTTTGTCTATAAACAGTTGTGAGCCAGTTTGATGCTGTTTGGCTGTTGCAAAGACTAAATCATAGTTAAAACTAAACTCAAAATGAGTGAACTTTCAATAAGCGGAACTGTGCAAAATAATGGCGATGAAGGGATTGGAATCGCAGCAAGCAACTCGGACATGGAGTCCGGGGAAGAGGAAGATGCCACACCATCATCACATCATATGTCCAACTCAAAATATGAAGAGTTGGACTGTGAAAATGATGCTGGAGGGCTAACCACTGAGAAAGGCAACAAAATTCACCTCCAGTCGCAGGAGGAGGACGAACCACCACGGAAGAGACCCAGACGTGATCACACCAGGGATGTGAATGGGAAAATTGAGTTTGAAATTATTGATGAGATTGAGGCTGATGAAGAAGACCATGGGAATGGGGACGATAGTGATGATGACGACCTCTCGGATGACGAGATCTACGCATGGCTGGAGGAGGGAGTAGATAAGAATGTCCAGGCGGAGAAGGATGACAGTATTCCTGTCGAGAGGGAGAAGGTGGTATTAAAGGGTAAATTGTTGACACATTCTCTATTTGGCCTGTCAGGCAGGGTTTTAACAGGCACCAGTTCCATTTTCTTGTCCAATTAGCTTCATGTATATATCGGAACCAGTTTTTGTCTGAACCTATAGCTTAGGTTAGGAGAATCTTAATGTGTGACCCACAAGTAGAAAAGGGATCTTATAGGTGCTAGGATACAATTGTGCTGTGACGTCTTAAAGAAAGATGTTTGATGTCAACTTCCTTGCATAAAGATCACCTTGTAAAAAATATCACATTTTTCTCTAGTTAGTTCGTAATGTAATGAAAACATTATTTTCAGAGCATTTTAGCATATATGTCAAGTTTCAGTTAATCAGACATGTCTAAAAACTGAAATTATTACATAAGCAGTTATAAGAAAATGGGACTTTGCAGAAAATGAGTCCAAATGTTTGATGCCATGTATATCTGTAATAAATATTTATTGAAGTGTGTAAATTGTAGTTTTATGGTCCTAAGATACTGTAGTTTTAAAATAAAATACAAAGTCAAAATGTTATTTTTCACCCATAAGGTCCCTTGTCTCATGGTTGGTCTCACATAATGTTAAGAATAGTCTGAGATGTTAGCCCCAGACAGCCAATGCAGATTTGACAAATTATTCTAAATTATGGCTGGAATTTACTTGAGAGTTGTCATAAATCTCTTACCATCACTTTCCTTACATATATACACTATGATAAGAGTGACATACTGTTCACTCACTCTATTCTATTATGCTTGCCGTAAAAGGTGACTATGCTTGTCGTAAAAGGCGACTAACAGGATCGGGTGGTCAGGCTCGCTGACTTGGTTGATGCATGTCATCGGTCCCAATTGCGTGGATCGATGCTCATGATATCAATCACTGGATTGTCTGGTCCAGACTCGATTATTTACAGACCGACGTCATATAGCTGGAATATTGCTGAGTGCGGCGTTAAACAACAAACTAACCAACCAACCACTCACTCTATTCATTCATTTTCAAGTATAGGGTTCAACATGTTCAAAAGACATGGATAGATATTTGCTGGTTCTTGTTAGCTGTGCTAATGTGCTGAAGTTTTGTGCTTGTAGATGATAGTTTTTCTCATCAGACAGGCCTGAGTAATGATAAGATATGGAACACTGTTGAAAATATGAAATTTCTACTCGCCCCAAAGGACACCTCTAACATTGTGGCAGATTTCAATCAGACCAGTGGGAAAGTGCTGATTTCGTTTTCACTTTTGATTAGTGTTTCAGGAATGTAATGTTAGGGTCTCCTAGGATAGTAGGGCTAGGTTTGACAATGTCGCTTTATTGCCTTGGGTTTATAAGGAAATTGAGCCAGTGATAAGAACTACAATGTTTGGATAAATAATAGTTTGCTTTCACAATGCTGTTGATTAGCAACCATGTCAAGAAGTAATAGCTTAAAGGGTTGAAACACGATTGAGCAAGTAGCCAGCTGCTGTCAATCATTTTCCACATCCTTCTGGCACACCATCTGTTTTTATGAAAAACTGGAATTCAATGAATCTAACTCTGCATGTTGTGACCCACCCCATATTTTGATGACTATATTGTATCACCGTGTTATGGGTTTTCGGACTCTTAAGAAGCATTTGTAGACTTATCTCTAATCACCTGAACAACTGTAAAACATCCCATTCATTTATGAAAAGACAACTTTCTCTTAAAAACAAGCCATCATCTGAGTATTTGAAATGTCTGTGTGATGCTACACTCCCTGTTATAGTGCGAGTAGTCACGATAAACATATGATGCATGTTCAGTCCCCCCTGTATTCAATTTTTGTAAATCCTGCAATAAAATTTTGATAATTCTGCACACATTTCTGCAAACTTTTAAGCTTTGGTTTTGTGAATTATGTAGTTTTGCACCTGTTTGACTTGTTGCGGGCATTTTTATGATAAACTTTTTCACAGCTAGAAGAGCTGATTGAAGTGAATCTGGAGATCACTAGTGAAAACATAAACATGCAGTTTTGGTATGCAATAATACAAAAGTCAACTTCATTTTAAGGTGAAATAAATATTTGTTTACTCATTTAAAACTTTATGCTCACCTGTTTAAATTCTGCTGTGTATTTGACGAATTCTGCAGCAGTTAAATGCAAAATTATTGTTAATATTTCTGCAAGATAGTTATATTTCTGCACCAAGTAGGATGTTATGCAAAATATTCCGTGACCATGGAATAACGGAATGCAGAGGGGACGGTTCAATAATCTTAATGTGTTATGCAATGTTAAGGGAATTGAAAGAATGGGCTTTGGTATTTCTTCAGGTGAATGTACTGACAAAAATTTGAGATAAACTTGCCAAACAATGTTTCAGAAAAAGGTCACGATCCATTCGACATTCTCCCTGAAGGCTGGGTTGTGGTGACCCACAACAGCGGCATGCCGGTCTATCTGCACAAGGAGTCGAGGGTTTGCACCCTGGCTAGGCCCTACTTCCTCGGACCAGGCAGCGTCCGGGTAGGTTTCATGATAGGAATTGACTGTGGTGGGAAGGAAAAATGGGAAAATTTTCTGTGCGTGCTCTGATACTTGGCCTCTTTCATTTCATAGACATTGAATAGAATTCATTTCTTCATGTCTCTCCATCACCTCATCTTCCCTTGCCTCCCGAGGCAAGGGAGATAACTGACTATAAAAGTCCAGTTTCCACCCTTGCTGAACTAGGCTGGAATTATGGAGTTACGTTTTAGCTGGACTAAAGAGTCTATGCATTGTCTATCAAAATTGCGAAACAAAATTGACATCTGGTTTGTAAAATGCCATGCAGATTTCAGTCGATTACAGGATTTGCAAAGCATGTGTACCGAAGACTCGGCGTCAACAGATAATTAATCAAGGTGCTAATGTTATTTGATTCAAATTGCGAAGTAAGACCCCTTTTATTACAATATAGATCTTGATTATCGATCTGATCGTCTTTGACTAGGCCACCATTTTGTTTGAAGCAAATGTAAGTGATATCAGAGGTGGAATATGATTGGTCAATAGGAGGGACATAACTCGTAATGCTCACTGGTGGCTCTACGATCAAGCCCAGAAATCCCAGCCTAGTGCAGCAAGGGTGGAAACAGGACTTTTACAGTCAGTTAACTCCAGTATCTCGCGAAGATGATGTCACAATGGGCCACTTTGCAGTGTAGTTGCTCTTTTGAACCTCAGTGGTCTACTGGATAGAGTGCCTACCCAGGGTGCAGATGGTGGTTCATACCACAGGACAAAAAGATGGTATTTGTTGTAAGGTGAGGTGAGGTGAGGTGAGGTGAAATTGGGTTTAACGTCGCGTCCAAGATTATTGCACTTATATAGCGACGTGCATGTACATGTATGTGTTTGTGTGGCTGCTTGTACTAGTACGGACTGATGCCAATTTATAGTGCTAGCTCACTGAGATACCATGCCGCAGTTTAACATGAATACCCCACTCAGACACAGTATACTGACTCCGAGCTGACCAGTCCTTGTTTTAACCCCTTAATGTCGAGCGCCAGACAGGGTAACCAGTACCATCTTTTAACGTCTTTTGGTATGACGCGGCCCGGGATCGAACCCCGGACCTTCCGCTCTCTGGGCGGACACTCTACCACTAGACCACGGAGGCAGTCGGTATTTGTTGTAAGCCTGCCTGGCACACGGCATACGGGAGATAAAACATGGACTGGTGGACTCTGCAGTCCGTATACGGTGTATGAGTGGGGTATCCATTAGGGCTGGGACAGGAGACTTGAGTACTCAGTTCAGATGGATCCTGAGTGGGACCCGGCTACCCACAGGAATAACTGGACCAGTGGTGTCGTATATTGTTTGTGACAATAAAAATAAACACTACAAGTCGCTAAATGGTGACAATTCTTTCTGATTGTGCATGCATTCCTTTTGACTTTTTTATGTTTGCGTAAAGATAAAGCTTTAGTCAACTTCCATGTTTGCATGATCAGATTGTTTTATATGTGTATGTAAATAGTTTTTGCCAGGGCTCTAGTAAAACAAGTCCCAATCTACAGCAGGTACCCTGGTAGGGATTGGTTAATTGGGGGTCGGGTACCTGTGTAATAAATTGTCCTAGCACGCGTATCCATGTGAAACTGTGGCATGGTATCTCAGTGGGCTAGCACTATAAAACAAGCATTAGTTTGTACAAGCAGACATGCGTGCATGCTTTGCTATATAAGTGCAATAATCTTGAATGCAACGTTAAATTCCATTTCACCTCACAAAGAACAAGCACTTCCTGCTTTCAGCGACAGAGAAGGCAACGAGTGCTCAGCTTACAATGTGTGATGTTTCTTGCATAACATCATTGCAATATATGTTATAGCCTTGCTGTCTTCTGCTCAGTGTCAGGCAGTGAAAGAGTTAATGGACAGAGTAGGGCTCATTGCATGTCCATGAGTTTTATACGTCCTCATTTTGAATAAAAACAGACTTGGGTCACTGCGACATGTCTCAGCAGTCTCATATATTCACGGGTGATGGACATTTGTGTATACAGGACGGTGAAGTATTGAAGTATTGTGGTAGAGTGTCTGCCCAGAGCGCGGAGGGTCTGGGGTTCGATGTTGAAAAATGGTACTTGTAGTTACCCTGCCTGGTGCTCGGCATTAAGGGGCTAAAACAAGGATTGGTCGGCTCAGAGTCAGTATACTCTGTCTGAGTAGGGTATTCATGCTACAGACCCGTGAAGATCCAGGGTAGAATAGGTCTTCAGCAATCCATGCTTGCTATAAAAGGCGACTATGCTTCCTGACTTTGTTGATTCATGTCAGGTTCATGATGTCAATCACTTGATTGTCTGATCCAGACTTGATTATTTACAGACTGCCGTCATATGGCTGGAATATTGCTGAGTGTGGCGTTAAACAAAAAAGAAACAAACAAATATTCATGTTACACTGTGCCATGGTATCTCAGTGGGCTAGCACTATAAATTGACATTAGTCTGGACACACTCGTGCGCACAAACAAACAAACAAACAAACACACACACACACACACACAGCTCTCACTAAATAGTGAACAGATTTATGTTCGCTTTTAACCATATTGTTTTACTATTTGCCTGGCTGAATTAACACCTGTCTGGTACCACCAGGCTGAATTTACACCTGTCTGGTACCACCAGGCTGAATTTACACCTGTCTGGTACCACCAGCCTGAATTTACACCTATCTGGTACCACCAGCCTGAATTTACACCTGTCTGGTACCACCAGCCTGAATTTACACCTGTCTGGTACCACCAGCCTAAATTTACACCTGTCTGGTACCACCAACCTCAATTTACACCTGTCTGGTACCACCAACCTAAATTTACACCTGTCTGGTACCACCAGCCTGAATTTACACCTGTCTGGTACCACCAGCCTAAATTTACACCTGTCTGGTACCACCAACCTCAATTTACACCTGTCTGGTACCACCAGCCTGAATTTACACCTGTCTGGTACCACCAGCCTGAATTTACACCTGTCTGGTACCACCAGCCTGTATTTACACCTGTCTGGTACCACCAGCCTGAATTCACACCTGTCTGGTACCACCAACCTAAATTTACACCTGTCTTGTACCACCAGCCTAAATTTACACCTGTCTGGTACCACCAACCTCGATTTACACCTGTCTGGTACCACCAGCCTGAATTTACACCTGTCTGGTACCACCAGCCTGTATTTACACCTGTCTGGTACCACCAGCCTGAATTCACACCTGTCTGGTACCACCAACCTGAATTTACACCTGTCTGGTACCACCAGCCTAAATTTACACCTGTCTGGTACCACCAGCCTGAATTTACACCTGTCTGGTACCACCAGCCTAAATTTACACCTGTCTGATACCACCCGCCTGAATTTACACCTGTCTGGTATCGCCAACCGGAATTTGGACTTTACTGGTTTCACCGGGCTGAATTTTGAGATTTTACTGCAGGTGCTTGACAAGGGGGAATTCTCTATATACTGTGGGTGTTGATCTGTCAGTAGTGAGATATAATCTGCCCCTGCTTGATCAGTTGATACCCGTTTTTGTCCTCAGAAACACGACATTCCTCTAAGTGCCATTCCATGCTTACAATACAAACGAGAAATAGAGAAGGAGAACACAAATGATGCCAATTCCATTCCTGAAGAGCTGGAACAAACAACAGTCAAAGAAAACGAAGTTTCTGATACAAATACTGAGAAGCAAAATGAGGTTGAGGCAGGGAATACAATAAATTGTGTGGATCTTGTGCAGAAGACAGCAGGCATTATGGAGACAAACTCAAGTGGCCAGGAAACGTCTTCTGCTCTAGCATTTGGTAGTGTCCGGAATATATCCAAGACTGGCGCTAGTCAAGATGAAGAGCCAGACAAGACAGCCACTGAGAATCCCGATGAAGAGAAATCCAGTTCTATACTTGTTACAAATGCCATGTCGGATTCTTCCAAGGTGGGTGCTGTTGGTGGCAAAAATCAGTTGGTTACAAGCCAGTCGGAAACCTGCCCATTTAAACCGGTGCAATCTAGTGTGAATGTCAGTTTGGATGAAACTGAAATGGATTGTGCCGAAAATGAAAATATATCCTGTGCCACTACAAGTGCCAAACCAGCGGAGGTGTCTGTTGAATCTGAGTCAGTCAATGCCAAGGTCACTCTGGAAGGGGCATCTATAATAGAGAACGGCATAGCAGGAAGTAACACTGGTGGAGGAAGAGATTGTGAAAATGGTAGGTTTTTACTTAAGTCCCCTGGGTGAGGATAGTTTGTTACTTAAGATGTAATATAATCATCAATTGGATCCTTTACTCTGAAATGTCAGGGAACTTACTTATAGGTCAAACAGTGCCAAGGCTTCTCAGTACGAGTGAGCAGAGCATTCAGAGCAGCATGTATGATTTCTCTATCTCCAAAATAAACATACATGGGCAGTTCCAAATGGAAAAAATAAAGGTGTGCTATGTTTGTTGTGGATATATTCCATACACTCGTTTTCTGATCTGTATTGCATCTAAACCAAAAAAGGTCCCTTGTAGGAGCTATAGATAGCATGCCAAGGGAGACAACTCAATCAGAGCTTATCTGAACCATGCAGACATCACTGCTTCTTCCCTTGTAGGAGCTGTAGATAGCACATCAAGGGAGACAACTCAAGGAGACCAACGAGTGGAAGTACATCCTGTCAAGGTTGAGAGTGCTGAAGAACGAAGAAAGCAAGCTTCTTTAGGTAACAAAGTTGTGTGATGTAGATAAATAAAAAAAAAAGGGAGTGTATTGTAGACTTTGTAGAGTGTATTGGAGGGCACCGTAAGATGAATAAGTGATCACTAACTTTCTGTTTAAAAATAAATGTTACACTCTCTGCCAGTCACTCCTTACAGTCGGAACTGTCTTCAGCAACCCATGCTTGCTGTAAAAGGCGACTATGCTTGGTGTTAGAGGCGACTAATGGGATCGGGTGGTGAGGCTCGCTGACTTGGTTGAAGCATGTCATCAATCCCAATTGAGTGGATCAATGCTCATGATATCAATCACTGGATAGTCTGGTCCAAACTCGATTCTTAACAGACATATAGCTGGAATATTGCTGAGTGCGGCGTAAAACAACAGACCAATCAACCAACCACTTGTTAATCAGTCATGTCTGGAATTTCAGCTCATCTTTCTGTCACTTGATCATGTCATCACTATAATGTTTTCAATCTTTTTATTTCAGACCCACCTGCAGTTAGAGAATATTGCTCAAGACTGTTTGAATTTAGGACAATTACTGTCAGAAAATACAAGTAAGATGTTCTTCTGTCTACTCTTAAATCACAAAAAACTTTGCACTTCTTGCATCTTCGATATGCGTGATATGTCCCCAGGGAATTCCATGGCATAAAAAGTGTGAGAAGGACTATACATGTTTGATAAATAGAACTAAGCACTTGCTAATACTGTTTATCAGTGGCTACACATTAAGGGAGCAGTTTAAGTTCTAGTTTATCTGGTGGTGCTCAGAGGCCTATTTTGGCACCAAGTCTGCAGCAAATGTCAGTTAAATTCCCAAATTGGAATTGAGATCTTGTCCAATCATGTTAATGTAAGTTAACTACTGTATTGACCTTGTAGAGACTTGTACTTCATTGATATTGTGGTCGATAAACATGATGAAGAGGAAGAGGCTTGAATGCTTAGTTGTAGATATGGCTGGCTTGATAATCATGAACTAAATATCCATCAGTTATCGCTAAATATCGGACTTCGAGCAAATATGCAAAAAGCTGAGGGAGAAGACAATATTTTTCACTTCATTGGTGAGTGTTGACACATTTATGTATGGATTACGAGGGACATTTAAGTTAAGTTGCTTTCCGTCTTCAGTAATGGACAGTAACAAGTCTGCTTTGGTAATTAAAACATTATTTCATCACGATAGTTTATGTAAGATATCAGTGACACAATTTTCATATCGATAATCATAAATATTTCTTCTCATCGACGATATTTCCGATTATCAATCTTTTTGCCAGCCCTCGTTGTAGATTACTGCATTGAATGCAATGCTGAGAATATATTGGTAAAAAACACCTCTGCATTTAAGAAAACAAGAAATTTAAAAAAGCCCAATATGGAGCAAAATAGCGATTATCTTTTTCCCCCCAACTTGCCTGCCAAGGGCACTTACTTAAGAATCCTAGATAAATCCCTGCCTGAAATCATTATGATACTCTCTCCTTCTATTGTATTTGTATTTTCATGGAATGGGCACATTTCATCATCAGTTGATCTAGGCAAAGACGTATATGGATGTATATACGTCTTTGATCTAGGCATTGGTACTCATTTCTTTTAGATGTTGTCCATAGTTTGTAACATTATGAAATATACCGTATTCGACGTAATAAGCGCCCAGGGCGCTCTCAAAATAAGAATTAGGGGGCTCTTATTAGAATATTATTTTGATGGAAAAACAGAGTTGAAAGATAAATTTCGTGGTTTATGCTGAGGGTCTGACTGTTTATATACGACAGATAAATTTTTCCAGAATTTAATTGCCCATAATTAAGGGTGCATATAGCACACGAGTGCGTATTATACACGAATAAATTAGTCTTGTGTACATTGCTCATTCGGAAGGGGTGCTAATTGGGATTGTTCAATTGCCAATATATTAGCAAATATCGCCGTGGGCGCTTATTAGAGTGGGGCGCTTATTACGTCGAATACGGTATATCAGTATTCCTTCTGAAGTAATATATGCTAAACATTCCTTGTTAGACACACTAATCTTGATGTTTTCAGAACTTGGCGAGATAGACGTAGACATATGACTCAGATGAAGAAACAATCCCGTCCAGAACTGGTAAATATGGTCAAATCAGTTCAAGTACAGATTCTAAATTGAAACCAGTGTTCCAAATTAAATGTAAAAGTAGAAGGGTTAAAAAAATTGGTGTTTTAGGGGGTCCCTAATTTCAAATACTATCTTAAGGATCAGGCTTAATGTTTGAACACAATAAGCTTATGACCTCACATCGATCATGTTGACATGCATTAGTTTTGGATTTTTCACTCCGTTCACTGATCATGTGACAAAAGACATGGTAAGGGATAAAACTGCTTCTGTCAAAGTCATTGTGAAGTGATCAAATGCGCATATGCAGGGTTTTTTATTGGTTTATTTTTTAGGACATTGTCTGACATGTCCCGGCTAATTTTTCAAAATTTGTTAATGGGATAAAAGAATGTCCTATTAATACTGGATAGGGTCATAAAAATGCCCTACCGTATATGTCCGCAGATAAGTCGAATTTTGAGGACTAGAAATAAGATTCTGGGTACATTTTTCACGGGTTCATCCTTCCATACACACGATTCACAAAATGGCATCTCGCTGTGGATGGCAACATAATAATCATTATGAGATTATGAGAACAGAAACAGCTTCCCACATTAGGCGAGTTGATGACTGGTTTGTTAAATCTTTATAAGAAATTATAATGACTTTTTCAATATAATTACAACATTTTTCATCTTATATTATCTTATCTGCAAGTTCTGATAGCCTTGCAGTCCGACTTCGCAGTGTGTCGTTGCCTTTCACTGCCTGGTCATATCATGTTCTTTATATTTCAAGGGTCAAGTCAATGCCCCGACTACGGGGTTGGCTTATCTGCGGTCATGTACGGTATTGCCATTTGTCTCTAGCAAAATTACTGATATGTACCTTCAGTTCTATGTATCATGGTATCGATAAGTATACATAGTGTACATCCCCGATTACCAGCTGGTTACTGACGGAGGATCTAAGTCACGCTGTGTATATATACTTGTTGCAATGTCTCTAGGCAGATAACGTGTCCCGTGTCATGTGATTAGCTACAGTAGAAACATGGGATCTCGCAGACCAGACAATGTACTATTTTAACACAACAGAAATAATTGTAAGAAAATTACTCTAGAACCTCTGTATTTTATTTCAGCCACCCAACACAAAGCTCATCACTTGTTCCTTAAACGTCCAACTGAAACCTGGAGATTTCAAGTCCACCAAAAGGAAAGGTAAGAAATGATGGGAATTCTGGGAATATTCTGTGTTTTGGTCAGGAGATCTATACCCAAGCTGGTGGGAAACCAGTTCAAGGTAAGTGGTTGACGAATGACGAAGGTTGCAAGTTTGATCCCACTGAAATATATATAAGATTTGTTGTTTGATTTTACATCATTCTGCATATTTCCTAAAGTGTAGCATTGTAATGTGTGTTATGTAGAATGTGTTCATTAGCAAACTTCTAACAAGAGGTCTCTGGTCCTGGACTGATCCTTAGAAATGCTCTCTCCTTTCAGCTTGTTCCCCAAGTTTTAAGATTTAAATTTCAAAGATTTTCTTATCATACACAGAGTTTGTTATTTATCATATTTTCCTTCTTTTTTTTTTCTGAGTAACAGAAGCTTCCGATTCAATCTTTCTTTTTTTCTCCGCCACCTTTACTCAGCCTAATTATAAATGGTGTCAGCCTAACTGTCAGTTTGACAGTCATATTTCTGTGTTCAACTTTCATTGAATTGATCTTCTTCCAAATGAACAATATGGACAATCGAGAGAACTTAATATTTGTAATTTCATTGGATGCTGTATACACCAACCAATCAGCACATGTTTTATTTGTGCAGGAAGTAAGTCTGATGTCATCAAACTGTAAGGTCGATGAATATCTTTCAATGATTATTTTTCGTAAGTCAGATGAAAATATAAATAACTAATGACTGTTTTGTTATTCATTTCATCAAAGTTTAATATGCACTGTTCCATCAGACCAAATGGCTTTTACATTACTTAGTCCCACATCGAGTGTGTCTGGTCTTGGACCTGGGACCTGTGGAGTGTCAGGTTCACATTACATGTGTTACCCCCTAGACAACACAGGGACGTCCTATAGAGTGTCCTAGGGACAGGGGGATATTCTTGAGAAAGTCTCTTATAACAGGTCATTCTGTGAATCAAGGCTCCAGAACGAAATTATGTTTTTAAAGTGCTTTTATTACTCCTGATAGAATTCAAGAGTGGCCAAAAATCTAAAGAACAAAAAATGAGCCCGCACTTGGGCGATAGTTAGGGGTTAGTTATTTCGGTGAACTTGATGTTTAATTAAGGTATCCTCAGTAAGGTGTGGCGTGCCTAAAACATAAAATAATAAGATCTTGTATTGAAGTTTTATGTTCCATTAATGTTATGACTTGCAATAGCTCTTTGAATTGTTTGTGAAGAACAATACATCTGTAAGCCTTGCATATTTTAGTTAATTGAATAATTTTCTGCTTTCTGAGTGAAATGGTGGAAGGAGTTATGTCCCTTGAGTGGAAATTATTTTTATCCCCCGCCCCAATGAAGTTTGCAGGGGATATAGATATGGGTTCCGTCCGTGTGTGCGTGTGTGCGTGTGTGCGTGTGTGCGTGTGTGCGTGTGTGTGTGTGCGTGCGTGTGTGCATGTGTGCGTGTGTGCGTCCCGAAATCGTTTCCGGAGCATAACTCAGAAACCGTTAAATATTTCTCTACGAAACTTTGCATGTCTATCAGACTCATGCTGAACTGGTGCCTTTGCTATTTAGGAATTTTATAAATTTTTATTTTTTACGTTTCCATGGCAACAAGTTGGACTTAGGTTCTATAAGGTGCTGTTCGTTTCCGGAGCGTAACTCAAAAACCGTTAAAATATTTCTTACAAAACTTTGCATGTTTACCAGACACATACTGAACTGGTGCCTTTTGCTATATAGGAGTTTTAAATTTTTTATTTTTAACGTTTCCATGGCAACAATTTGGACTTAGGTTCTATAAGGGTGGTGTTCGTTTCCGGAGCATAACTCAAAAACTGTTAAATACTTTCTTACAAAACTTTGCATGTCTACTAGGCACATACTGAACTGGTGCCTTTTGCTATTTAGGAATTTTATAAATTTTTATTTTAGAATTTCCATTGCAGCTATTTTGACATGGCCTAAGAGAAATGTTGGGTCAGTTACCTGGTTTGGGACCATAACGTGTTAAAATGGCAGTGGATATAGATGACTTCGTCGACTATCATGACTATACGCTTGTTTTTTAATCAACTTGCAATCTCATTAAAATCAGATCAAAGATCTGAGGACATTCCATTACTAGGTACTCAGAACAACCTTTCATCCGACCAATGAAAGCGTCGCGTACCAGATCATGAAAGTGACAGTCGGAATGTGTTTTCTAATTATGCATTTGAAAATGTCAACACGTGATATTCCGAATGACAGTTACAGCCCGTACGACTGATTCCGTCAAAATGATCATCTAACTCTCGCATCCGTAGGATAAACATTTGAATGGAGGAGGGTTGCACAGTACGTGGGAAGCACTGCTACACAATCTCAACCATACATTAGACATTCCGGAATGTTCGCTTGTTCAGTTTTCAAAATTTTAATCGAGAACTGTGTTAACATATCTTTTAAGCATAGTCTGAAATGGAAGTCGCCAGGTTGAAACGAGTGCTGTAAAGCTTGAGAAAGCTGCTTTCTAATTGGCTGATGTCGACTTCTTGTTAGTTATTTCAGTGATAGGTCAAAGTTCAAGAAAGGTCGTTCTGACGTGACCCGTAATGGGATGTCCTTATATCTTTGTTTGGCGACAGCGAGAACTTAGATCTGATTTTAATGAGATTAAATCAACTTGCAACTCGTCAGTTGATTTCAGTATATGTTTGGCCAAAATGAGTAATTTGCACTTGTTGCTATGGAAATTTCTAATGCTAAGCATGATTTGTGATGTATTTATAAGACCCAGTTGTAACATATATAGTACAATGTGTGGAGCCCATTTGTGGTGTCCCCCGCCGTGATATTGCTGAAATATTGCTAAAAGCGGCGTAAAACCTCACTCACTCACTCATGGAGTAAGAGACTCATGGAGTTTTAGTTGATATTCTCTTTTTCAAACCTTTACAGAGATTATTTTATCAATTTCTTGTTTAAGTCATGTTGTCTTAACGGGGATAGGGGCTGTTAAGTAGTCTAAATCAAGTTTTGCCTTGTCAAGCTGCAGTTTTAGTTTGGTTGATAGACATTGAAGAACACTTTTAGATAGGCCATTCTAATCCTCCAACAGATGTTACTACCATTGTTTCCCCACATTATGGTATGGATGGGTAGCCTTGTGGTTAATGTGTTTGCTCGTCATGCCGATGACCATGGTTCTATTCCCTACATTCGTACAATGTGTGAAGCCCATTGTAATATTGCTGGAATATTGCTAAAAGTGGCGTAGACCATACTCGCTGGCCCACTTCTCTCATTGGTGACACACTAACAGCCAGATCATATACTTTGGAAGTCTGCTCTTACTAAATACTTATAAACCCCTAGTGACTGTTTTGTTATTGATTTGATTTATTTTTGAGTCATTCGACCAAATGGCCATTAAAACTCTAGGTCCCACATTAAATGTGTCTGGTCTCGGACCTGTGGAACTTTCAGCCTCTCAATGGTCAAACCCACTTTACAAGTATTACCTTTCTAGGTGATCCAAGACTTTCTCTAGAATATCCCAGGGACAGGGATATTGTGGAGAAAGTCACTACTAAGAGGTTATTCTTAAAAAGCAAGGCCCCTTAAAGATGATAGGATGCCATCTATAGAGGCTTACCGTATTCGACGTAATAAGCGCCCCGCTCCAGTAAGCGCCCACGGCGAAATTTGCTAATATATTGGCAAGTGAACAATCCCAATTAGAACCCCTTCCAACTGATCAATGTACACAAGACTTATTTATTCGCGCATAATACACACTCGTGTGTTATATGCACCCTTAATTTTCGGCAATTTAATTCTGGAAAAATATATCTGTCGTACATAATCATTTCAGGCTGTCAGCATAAACCACAAAATTTATCTTTCAACTGTTTTTTTTCCACCAAAATAACATTCTAATAACAGCCCCCTATTCCTAATTTTGAGAGCACCCTGGGCACTTATTACGTCGGTATATATGTGCATATTAAACTCCTGCAGCGATGCAGGAGTTGGCCAAAATTTGATACTAAAGAAGAAAAAATGTGCCAAGGAATTGGCAGTACAGGGGGCTGGGTATTTGGAGAACTTGATATTTGATTAAAGTGTCCTCAGTAAGGTGTGTTGTGACTGAAACACAAAATAAGTGTATATTTTATTGAAGTTATTTTTTTCCATTAACGTTATAACTTTTAATAGCCCTTTGATATGTTTGTGAAGAACAATAGATCTGTAAACAGTATATATTTTAGTTAGTGGAATAATATTCTGCTTTCTGAGTGAATCGGACAAAGGAGTTATGTCCCTTGAGTGGAATACACAATTTCTGTAATCAACTCGTAACTTGATTTCAGTATATATTTGGCCAATTTGCACTTGTTGTTATTGAAGATGTAATATTTGGCATGGTTTGTGAGGTATTTATAAGACCCAGATGTAACGTACATGTTTTTTAGTCCTTATTTCATGCTTATGTCCAAATAGGCCTCATAGAGTAATAGACTCGTGGTGTTTTGGTTAATTTTGTCTTTGTCAAACCGTGACAGATTATTTGTATCAATTTCTCTCTTTTGTCATGTTGTCTTTACGGGGATAGGGGCAGTTAGGTAGCCTAATCAGCGGTAGAAACTAACATTTTTAGTCCACTAGTCCTTATAATAATAATATGTAGCCAAACCCTTAAAAATGGCAAATTTCTACTAGTCCTTATGATACCTTAACTATTGGGCAGTTTGGCAAGGACTACAGGACTAGTGCCAATTTCTAACACTGCTAATATAAGATAAATTCATTGCAGCAGGATCACTCTGGGGACACAGGGTTTTATGCGTCCCTCGTGAGGTTTTAACACAGGACGCATAAAGCCCCATGTACCCTGAGTGATCTCCTGCAACTTGGATGCCATCACTTGAGGTTTGTAAGTGTATTTAAAACTCCTGCTACAATGCAAGAGTAGCCAAAAATCCAAAGAACAAAACATGAACCCGCACTTGGGCTGTAGTTGTGGCACAGTTTTTGGTAACTTGATATTTAATTAAGGTGTCCTCAGTAAGGTACGCTGTGCCTAAAACAGAAAGTAATAAAGTCTTGTATTGAAGTTTTATTTTCCATTAACATTATGACTTTCAATAGCTCTTTGATATGTTTGTGAAGAACAATAGGTCTGTAAACAGTACATATGTTAGTTAATGGAATAACATTCTGCTTTCTGAGTGAATTGGACAAAGGAGTTATGTCCCTTGAGTGGAATATTAAATTTCTTGTATAAACTTGTAACTTGTTTTCAGTATATATATTTGGCCAAAACTCGTTATGGATGATGTAATGTTAAAATTAAAAAAGTGTGACCTTATTGCTTGCTTTGCCTGAAACTCTTGAGTGCAAGTGCAAGTGTGCCCAAAATTGATTTAGTAAAGGAAACGTTACTGTGATGATGTGTTCCGGCAAGCTCCTTCCTAGCACGTGACACCTTCGTTACACTCTTGGTAACATCGCTGCCACCAATGTGGGAGCGGCTATTACAAGAATCTTGAAATTTGCCCTCTAACCCCAAATGTAGTAACGTTTATACTTTTGTTCATGTCTTTGAGAATGCCATCATAGTTATTTTTGAAAATGTTTACAACTGACCATATTTCCAAGATGTATTTATCTTTTTGTCTGTTTAATTAGATTGGTTTGAGATTGCAGGCGAATGGAAAATCACTTAACTTCCCCCTTTCATTCTTGCTATATCAATTACATGATAGTTGGAATGAAATAGAAATTCAAATTGACAAACAAAGAAAATAATTCTGGCATAAGAGTATTCGATGTCACGACTGTCATCACTTGCTTGTAAACATAATGATCAGTTGGTTGTGAGTTCAACTCCAGGCATGGTTGTGGTCATCTATCACTGTTGGGAGTTTTGACTGGTGGCAGCGATAGTAGATTAAGAACTTTGGGAGCAAACCTCAAGGACTCCTATAATTTTTTTTTCTCTTTTCGTGTTTTTATTTCCCGTATTATAGATACAGAGATGTATATTGGCATGTTATATAATTATGCAAATTTACTTTCAGAGTCAAGCCTATACTTACAACCGTTATATACATCTAAAACATTATTTTTTTGTTGTTGAAAATCTCAAAATGCTTACTCATTTTTGGAAATAACAAATAGAGTGATGAATAGATGAGTGAAAAAATATTGGTTACCCAATGAAAAATGAAATAACCCAATTTATACAGAAACCTTTGAGTAAAAACTCAATTGCTCAAAAAGTTATCTGGAGCTCTGAAGTCAGTTTATACATTCAGAGCTACAGATAAGCTGCATATTTGCGTAAAATACCCTCCCAAAGCTATTCAAAACCCAATTACTTTCAATTAACTTGCATACAGAAACGCATGCAGTAAACGGGGAAACTCATTGTTTGAAAACAGCACGCGTAAACACCCAATGAAGCTTTTTCAGCATGCGTACAACGGAGCTAATTTCCGAAACACAATTACGGGCTAGTTTACTCTCCGAGTCAAGCCTATATTTAGAACCGTTATATTACATCTAAAACATTGTTTCATTTTTTTTAAATCTCAAAATGCTTACTCATTTTTGGAAAAACCCAATAGAGTGATGAATAGATGAGTGAAAAAATATTGGTTACCCAATAAAAAATGTAATAACACAATAAAATAGAAACCTATTATCTGTTATCTGGAGCTCTGAAGTCAGTTTATACATTGTACATTCATAAAGATGATACAAGTGCAGATGAAATTAAATGTCACAAACAACTTTAAGGTTTATGACGTGTTGTTTTACGGCCTGTTCATGCCTGTCACATCAGGTTACAGATACTACTGTATTCAATATGGGGATAAGGCCTTTGCAGTGGCTGAAGTACTATCATCATTCATATTATCTTACTCAGTATGACACTGACTTCTTTTATTTTTCAGAGTTTCTCCTCAACCCCTCAGGGAAGTCATATGTGTGTATCCTCCACGAGTATGTTCAACACACCATGCGAGTCCAGCCAAGATATATTTTCAAAGAAATGGGTAAGTTTGTAATCAGGGGGGCTATAAGGCTGTGATATAACAAATACAGTGTTGAAAGCAGTGTTAAACCAACTCACTCACTCACTATATAATTAGGGGGCACAGGTGGCCCAGTCGTCTAAGGCGCTGCAATTCGCTGTGCAGAGTTGCACGCCAGAAACCTGTGATTGTGGGCTCATATCCCGGTTCGCCCTGATTATGTTTCTAGGTTTGTCAGCACCATACCCGTGCTGGTGGGTTTCACCGAAGTGGTAAACGTCTGAGACCTGCATCCCATGGGCTTTTCTCCAACAATAAGCTGACATGCCGCGATATACAGGAATACTGTTAAAAGCGGCATTAAATCTAACTCACTCTCTCACTCATTGAAGGTCAACTTTCAACCTCTTGCTTGCAGAAAGTGCCCTAACTCCCTACAGTGCTACAGTTGTGATAAATGATGTGGAGTATGGAGTCGGCTATGCATCCAGTAAGAAAGCCGCTAAACTTGAAGCTGGTAAGTTATCTCAGCACAGACATCTTCCCGAGGCAAGAGAGTTAACTGACTTTAAAAGTCCAGTTTCTACCCCTGCTGAATTCCTGGGCTCGATCGTAGCGCCACCAGTGGTAATTACGAGTTGTGCCCCTACTAAGCCTCTCTTACGGACCAATCAGATTCCATCACTTGCATTTCTTTCAAACAAAACGGTGGCGCCCAGTCAAGACGATCTGAACGGTAATCAAGATCTATGTTGTGATAAAACGGGTCTTACATCGCCAAGTGCATCAAATCACCAGGCACCTTTATTAAAAACATGAAAAGGTTTGGAAAACATCTGTTGACAACAAGTTGGCGGCGCACATTCTTTGCAAATACTGCAATCGACCGAAATCTGCGCGACAGTTTATGAACCGGATTTCGATTTCGATGCACGATTTTGATTGAACTATGCATAGACTCGTTAGCCCAGCCAAAATGTAACTCCATAATACCAGCCTAGTTCGGCAAGGGTGGAAACTGGACTTTTATATTCAGTTAACTCTCTTGCCTCGGGAAGATGCATCACAGAGGGTGACTGGGAGGGTTAACCGTTCTCAGTGTTTTCCATCAGCTCTTAGTAGGGCTGGCTTAAAAGATCGATAATCAGAATTATCGTCGATGGGAAGAAACATTAATGATAATCGATATGAAAATTGTGGTGTCGATAATATCTTACATTAAATTTTGTGATGAAATAAAGTTTTAAGTTACCGAAGCAGACTTATTTTCCTCCACTGCCAAAGATGGAAAGCAACTGATTTCGTTCTTCCTCAAATGTCACCAGTGATGCGAAATAAGATGTTTTGTCTCTGAACTTTTTGTATATTTTCTGAAAGTAGGTTCTCTGATATTATGGATAATTGATCGATATTTTATAAACGATTTTCGATCTTAAAGATCGATATCGATAGCCAGCCAACTTTTAGAAGATATTTGAGTTAATAAGTAACATCTCTAATTATCTTTTACTCCGAAAACGATGAAATACAGGAAAAATTGTGGCATATTATTTGTGTCATGTTATTTGTGTGTTTATCAAAAATTATCCTAGCATCTCATAAAAATGGCATTATTTATGAAATGATGTTTTAGGGTGTGTGTCAGGGTTGGTCTTAAATCTTATAGAACAGAGAAGGGGATGACTTCGTTTTAGGGTGGGAGAAACCCAGGAGATACAAAAACTAATTCATCAACATTGAAATGAGAAACGCAGGCAGTAAGTCATCGATCTGTGATAAAAAGCACCATTTTAAGTTTGGGTCAATAATCTGGGACAAGCAAACCTTGTTTGAAGACAATTTTTACTGGTTGTGTCAGGGGCGGTCGGGTAGCCTAGTGGTTAAAGCGTTTGCTCGTCACGCCGAAGACCCGGGTTCGAATCCTAACATGGGTACAATGTGTGAAGCCCATTTCTGGTGTTCCCCGCCGTGATATTGCTGGAATATTGCTAAAAGCGGCGTAAAACCAAACTCACTCACTCACTCACTGGTTGTGTCAAGAGAAAAGTCCACAATTTTTATATTTCCTGCCCTTGGACCTTCATGTTTATGTCTGGGCCTGCTATAACTAGTCCCGAAGTGGCCGAAACTCACTGAGATGGATGCAGGGAAATCCCCACACAAACGAGACCAGGGAGCCCTATGGTCTGAGGTGCTGTTTGTTTCAGTGGATACCTTATCATTGTGAATTTGTGAATTTGTGAATTTGTGAATTTGTGAACAGATGAGTGCTGGTTTCTGAATGTTGCTTTGTTGCTGTGGTTGTCAAGTTTGTTGCCGTGGTTGCCACGGTATAGGTAATGATGGTTCTGCCACAACCCCACTGGAGCCAGATTTATATACCTATACTGCTACTACAGATGGAATTTTTTATGCAAAAATGATAATGCGATGGGGATGGGTAGCCTAGTGGTTAAAGCGTTCGCTCATCACGCTGAAGACCCGGGTTCGATTCCCGACATGGGTACAATGTGTGAAGCCTATTTCTGATGTCCGCTGTTGTGATATTGCTGGAATATTGCTAAAAGATGCACAACACCTCACTCACTCACTCACTCACTCACTCACTCACTCACTCACTCACTCACTCACTCACTCACTCACTCACTCACTCACTCACTCACTCACTTTGGGTTCTGTCTGGTTCTGTCATGCTGATTGGTCGGGATATATCAAAGTATGGCTAAGACCAACTCACTCACTCACTCACTCATTCAATAGACCTGTGAAGGTCAGGGTTAGAAAAGGTCTTCAGGATCCCATGCTTGCTGAAAAATAGCTGGAATATCACTGAGTTTGGTGTTAAACAACAAACAAACAAACAAACACAAATTCAATAAGGGACACAAGTCCGCAGCAAATGATTTATGTTGTCATTGGTGATGCTTATAATATACCTGTGACATTCTGTGTTTTAGCCAAAGACACCCTCAACATTCTCATTCCGGAAATGAACAAGGTCACAGATGACCAGAAAGGGGAGGGCGAGGATCTGTCGGTAAGTGTCCCAGTTCCCATCCATGTACCCTGGTGGGAAGAATCCCAGGAACCCTTGCTGTGTACAGGAATGACTGATGAGGATTAGTTGCAATGTTGTGATGCTCATGATGGAATTCTGTTTCAGTTCTTTGATGAAATCAAGATTGAAGATCCTCGAATCTATGAACTGGGGAACAAAGCAGGACAGCCTAGCCCATATCAGATACTCTGTGAATGCCTTAGAAGGTAGGGCTCGTATTTGGAATAAACCATGTTTGAAATTAAGCATCAATGTCAAGGGGTTGCTAATATGAAAAGTGATAAACTGCCCCCTAACTCAAGTACTGTTCACAGTTTGCTTAAACCATATTCACTCACACTCACTCACACTCACTCACTCACTCACTCACTCACTCACTCACTCACTCACTCACTCACTCACTCACTCACTCACTCTATCTCTATCTCTCACTCACTCACACCACCTCTGTGGTCTAGTGGTAGAGCGTCCGCCCGGAGAGCGGAAGGTCCGGGGTTCGATCCCCAGCCGCGTCATACCAAAAGACGTTAAAAGATGGTACTTGTTGTTACCCTGTCTGGCGCTCGGCATTAAGGGGCTAAAACAAGGACTGGTCGGCTTGGAGTCAGTATACTGTGTCTGAGTGGGGTATTCATGTTAAACTGCGGCATGGTATCTCAGTGAGCTAGCACTATAAATCGGCATCAGTCCAGACTAGTACAAGCAGCCACACACACACAAACACGTGCATGCACGTCGCTATATAAGTGCAATAATCTTGGACGTGACGTTAAACCCAATTTCACCTCACCTCACCTCACCTCACTCACTCTCTCTCACTCTCTCATTCTCTCTCTCTCTCTCTCTCTCTCTCGCTCTCTCTCTCTCTCTCTCTCTCTCTCTCTCTCTCTCTCTCTCTCTCTCTCGCTCTCTCTCTCTCTCTCTCTCACCAGGCAGGGAAATTGTTCTTTAAAACAAGTTCATCTCATCAATTGTTTTTATTTCTGTCACCTTATTTGGCACTGCTGCAACAAAGCCACTACTAGAAAATTTGAAGAAAATTAGGAAAGAGCCCTTAGATTTATTTATGATGAAGACAACAACACACTTCCCAGTCTGCAATAGTAATAACTAAGCCTCTGAGCATGTCTGGGTAAGTCCCTGCAAGTGTAAGACTGGGTTGATGTTGCAGGAACTACGGACTGGGTGAGACCCTGCATGTGTAAGACTGGGTTGATGTTGCAGGAACTACGGACTGGGTGAGACCCTGCATGTGTAAGACTGGGTTGATGTTGCAGGAACTACGGACTGGGTGAGACCCTGCATGTGTAAGACTGGGTTGATGTTGCAGGAACTACGGACTGGGTGAGACCCTGCATGTGTAAGACTGGGTTGATGTTGCAGGAACTACGGACTGGGTGAGACCCTGCATGTGTAAGACTGGGTTGATGTTGCAGGAACTACGGACTGGGTGAGACCCTGCATGTGTATAAGACTGGGTTGATGTTGCAGGAACTACGGACTGGGTGAGACCCTGCATGTGTGTAAGACTGGGTTGATGTTGCAGGAACTACGGACTGGGTGAGACCCTGCATGTGTATAAGACTGGGTTGATGTTGCAGGAACTACGGACTGGGTGAGACCCTGCATGTGTATAAGACTGGGTTGATGTTGCAGGAACTACGGACTGGGTGAGACCCTGCATGTGTATAAGACTGGGTTGATGTTGCAGGAACTACGGACTGGGTGAGACCCTGCATGTGTATAAGACTGGGTTGATGTTGCAGGAACTACGGACTGGGTGAGACCCTGCATGTGTATAAGACTGGGTTGATGTTGCAGGAACTATGGACTGGGTGAGACCCTGCATGTGTATAAGACTGGGTTGATGTTGCAGGAACTACGGACTGGGTGAGACCCTGCATGTGTATAAGACTGGGTTGATGTTGCAGGAACTACGGACTGGGTGAGACCCTGCAAGTGTATAAGACTGGGTTGATGTTGCAGGAACTACGGACTGGGTGAGACCCTGCATGTGTATAAGACTGGGTTGATGTTGCAGGAACTACGGACTGGGTGAGACCCTGCATGTGTATAAGACTGGGTTGATGTTGCAGGAACTACGGACTGGGTGAGACCCTGCATGTGTATAAGACTGGGTTGATGTTGCAGGAACTACGGACTGGGTGAGACCCTGCATGTGTATAAGACTGGGTTGATGTTGCAGGAACTACGGACTGGGTGAGACCCTGCATGTGTGTAAGACTGGGTTGATGTTGCAGGAACTACGGACGGGGTGAGACCCTGCATGTGTGTAAGACTGGGTTGATGTTGCAGGAACTACGGACTGGGTGAGACCCTGCATGTGTGTAAGACTGGGTTGATGTTGCAGGAACTACGGACTGGGTGAGACCCTTTAGTGTAAGACTGGGTTGATGTTGCAGGAACTACGGACTGGGTGAGACCCTGCATGTGTGTAAGACTGGGTTGATGTTGCAGGAACTACGGACTGGGTGAGACCCTGCATGTGTATAAGACTGGGTTGATGTTGCAGGAACTACGGACTGGGTGAGACCCTTTAGTGTAAGACTGGGTTGATGTTGCAGGAACTACGGACTGGGTGAGACCCTGCATGTGTATAAGACTGGGTTGATGTTGCAGGAACTACGGACTGGGTGAGACCCTGCATGTGTAAGACTGGGTTGATGTTGCAGGAACTACGGACTGGGTGAGACCCTGCATGTGTATAAGACTGGGTTGATGTTGCAGGAACTACGGACTGGGTGAGACCCTGCATGTGTATAAGACTGGGTTGATGTTGCAGGAACTACGGACTGGGTGAGACCCACTGCGAGATGGAGATGAAGCAACTCAAGCATCAGAAGAGCGAGTTCACCATGACTGTCGGCAAACACACGGCTACGGTGAGTGGAGCAACACGTTCACAGTAGACATTTCTTTCCCTCTTTGTGTGCTAAGTCTTCAGTCAGCCAGGCAGAGCACCGGGGCCCTTGACTGAGGCCCTGCAATTGCATCCCTTGGACACATCAGAATCCTATGATTGTGGGTTTGAATCCTGGTTCGCCCTGATTATGTTTCTAGGTTTGTCAGCACCATAACCGTGCTTGTGATAAACCAAAGTGGAAAACATTTAAAACCTGCATCACTTCAGGCTTTCCTCCCAAATTATGCTGACGTGCCATGATATAACTTGAATGCTGTTCAAAGTGGGGTTGAGACCAACTCACTCATTCATCCTGGAGATTTTACTCACGATGTTCATATGAAAAATGTGGTAGGCCTTTGTGTTTTAATATACGACTCAAAAGAAGCGAGAGAATGCTGGACTATAGTCGTATGAAAATATCAGGGGTTCTTTAACTTCTTTTCAGTAGTATATAGGGGTATTGTAAGTCTCTTATATGGTAATCAAAGGAATAGGCACACCTACACAAGCATGAGTTTAATGAATATTCATGTGTTCTTGAAGTTTGATCAGTGTTCTTGTGCTTTTTAAGGTTGATCCATATTCTTGTGTTCTTAGAGTTTGATCAAAACTCTTGATATCTTGGAGATAGATCAGTATTCTTGTGTTCTTTTGCAGGTGATTGCTAAGAATAAACGAGATGGGAAACAGAGAGCGGCACAAGCCATACTTCAGGTATGTCACACATATAGTTCTGTAAGGGGCAGTTGGGGTCAAGATGCCCGACACTAGGGACCGCCTCCCTGGTCTAGTGGATAGAGCATCTGCCTGGTCAGGGTTAGAAATTGGCACTAGTCCTGTAGTCCTTGCCAAACTGCCCAATAATAAAGGTATCCTAAGGACTAGTAGAAATTTGCCATTTTTAAGTGTTTTGCTATATGTTATCATTATAAGTACTAGTGGACTGAAATTGTTAGTTTCTACCGCTGCCAGTGGTGTGTGGAAAGTTGGGGTCTGCTTCATGCCAAAAGATGGTACTTGTTCTTATTCTGCCTGGCGATCGGCATTAGAGGCATATGAAATAAGGACTGGTTGGCTCAGAGTCAGCATGTAGCTATAATAGCCTATATGATTGCAATAATCAATAAATTTCACCCTACACTAGGAATCATATGTTTCATTGCCTGAACTCCCTCACTAACATCCTCGATTATTTCAGAAACTGCATTCCCATGTGACCAGCTGGGGTTCACTGCTGAGACTTTACGGAAAATGTTCCGAAAAATATTTTGCAGAGAAGGTAAGAATTATGTCATGTTTATGGGCATGCATCTGTAAACTGGTCAGCTGAGTGTGGAGAAACTGAGGTCTTCTGTCAAACCTTGATCTGAATATGTCATGAATATCGCCATGCCAATACCACCATCTTCAAATTTCAGACAGATTTGTTTTTTAATATGTATTCATACACTGTGAAAAGTTCAGAAGATTTCAATCATTGATTCAGCAAGCTTTGGGCATGTTTTGTAAATGCAGTTACAGTTATGTGCAAAGTGAGCTAACCGTGTTATTAAATATATTTGTCTTCGCTCTTCCGTTGCCTTGAAGAGGAATCTCACTTCCTGGGTAACCATGGTAACCAAATGTACACCCATAATGGAACAAAATCTTTAGAATTGCTTTTTCTTGCATAATTGCATAGTCTGGAATTTGGACGAGTTAATCATTACAGCCATCCGACGATTGTTTAGTTTACTTATTTGGGTGTAACAGATAATAGAATTGAACTGAAGTTCCTTTGGAGGCACATCACTGATGTCTATGTCCCTTATTGCTCTGACGTCACGTACCTGGGGTGATGGCATAACTGATGTCTATGTCCCTTATTGCTCTGACGTCACGTACCTGGGGTGATGACATAACTGATGTCTATGTCCCTTATTGCTGTGACGTCACGTACCTTGGGTGATGACATAACTGATGTCTATGTCCCTTATTGCTCTGACGTCACGTACCTGGGGTGATGACATAACTGATGTCTATGTCCCTTATTGCTCTGACGTCACGTACCTGGGGTGATGACATAACTGATGTCTATGTCCCTTATTGCTCTGACGTCACGTACCTGGGGTGATGACATAACTGATGTCTATGTCCCTTATTGCTCTGACGTCACGTACCTGGGGTGATGACATACTGATGTCTATGTCCCTTATTGCTGTGACGTCACGTACCTGGGGCGATGGCATAACTGATGTCTATGTCCCTTGTTGCTCTGACGTCCGAACCTGGGGTGATGACATAACTGATGTCTTTGTCCCTTATTGCTCTGACGTCACGTACCTGGGGTGATGACATAACTGATGTCTATGTCCCTTATTGCTGTGACGTCACGTACCTGGGGTGATGACATAACTGATGTCTATGTCCCTTATTGCTCTGACGTCACGTACCTGGGGTGATGACATAACTGATGTCTACGTCCCTTATTGCTCTGACGTCACATACCTGGGGTGATGACATAACTGATGTCTATGTCCCTTATTGCTCTGACGTCCGAACCTGGGGTGATGACATAACTGATGTCTATGTCCCTTATTGCTCTGACGTCACGTACCTGGGGTGATGACATAACTGATGTCTATGTTCCTTATTGCTCTGACATCACGTACCTGGGGTGATGACATAACTGATGTCTATGTCCCTTATTGCTCTGACGTCACGTACCTGGGGTGATGACATAACTGATGTCTATGTCCCTTATTGCTCTGACGTCACGTACCTTGGGTGATGACATAACTGATGTCTATGTCCCTTATTGCTCTGACGTCACGTACCTGGGGTGATGACATAACTGATGTCTATGTCCCTTATTGCTCTGACGTCACGTACCTTGGGGGATGACATAACTGATGTCTATGTCCCTTATTGCTCTGACGTCACGTACCTGGGGTGATGACATAACTGATGTCTATGTCCCTTATTGCTCTGACGTCACGTACCTTGGGGGATGACATAACTGATGTCTATGTCCCTTATTGCTCTGACGTCACATACCTGGGGTGATGACATAACTGATGTCTATGTCCCTTATTGCTCTGACGTCACGTACCTGGGGTGATGACATAACTGATGTCTATGTCCCTTATTGCTCTGACGTCACGTACCTGGGGTGATGACAGTTTTCACTGGCTGTTTCCAGAAAGACGAAATGAATATCAATGAGCTCCAAGCTCAGGTAAAAGCAAACCGTCCAAACAACGCCATTCTCGACAAGCTGAAGGAAGAAATGACCAGACTACACATGCAGAGGGTGAGTGGTGTCTTGGTACATATGGGAAGGTTTTCTGCTGTATACATGATAAGGGCAAGAAATTTCAAGCTATGTCTCATTTCCCCCAGTTCCCAGTACCCAGGCCCATGCCATCAGCCCCAAGTCCCCAGTCTCTTGTCCCCCAGTACCCAGTCTCCTCTCTAGAATCCCTCAGTACCCAGTCTCCAACACCCCACTTCTCATTACCAAGTCTGCAGTCTTGTCTCCAGTCCCCAATCTGCTGTCTGCAGTCTGGCCTCCAGTCTCAGTACCCAGTCTCCTCTCTGGAATCCCTCAGTACCCAGTCTCCAACCCCCCACTTCTCATTACCAAGTCTGCAGTCTTGTCTCCAGTCCCCAATCTGCAGTCTGTAGTCTCGCCTCCAGTCTCAGTACCTAGTCTGCAGTCCTCAGTCTCTTGTCCCCCTGTACCCAGTCTCCTCTCTAGAATCCCTCAGTACCCAGTCTGCAGTCCTCAGTCTCTTGTCCCCCTGTACCCAGTCTCCTCTCTAGAATCCCTCAGTACCCAGTCTGCAGTCCTCAGTCTCTTGTCCCCCTGTACCTAGTCTCCTCTCTAGAATCCCTCAGTACCCAGTCTGCAGTCCTCAGTCTCTTGTCCCCCTGTACCCAGTCTCCTCTCTAGAATCCCTCAGTACCCAGTCTGCAGTCCTCAGTCTCTTGCCCCCCAGTACCTAGTCTCCTCTCTAGAATCCCTCAGTACCCAGTCTGCAGTCCTCAGTCTCTTGTCCCCCTGTACCCAGTCTCCTCTCTAGAATCCCTCAGTACCCAGTCTCCAATCCCCCAGTCCTCATTACCCAGTCTGCAGTCTGCAGCCTCGTCTGCAGTCTCATTACCCAGTATGCAGTCTGCAGCCTCGTCTGCAGTCTCAGTACCCAGTCTCCTCTCTAGAATCCCTCAGTACCCAGTCTCCTCTCTAGAATCCCTCAGTACCCAGTCTGCCATCCTCAATCTCTAGTCCCCCAGTACCTTGTCTCCAATCATTAGTCTCGTCCCCAGTACCAAATCTGTAGTCTCTTGTCCTATGTCTCAAGTGGCCAATCCCAAAGTCCAATCCAGATAACACTGACCAAAGACCCTCAATCAAAAACCCCCAAAGCCAAATCCTCAAGCCTCACTGTTATAGGTAAAAACATAATAATATAATATATGCA